CGCCGCATAATTCTTTCTCGTAACTTCCACACTTGTAAAGCTATTCATCTGTAACTGTAGCCTCTTTAGCAAGCTAGCACCACGACGTGCTTCCCGCTTAAGGGTCCAATATTTGCACGCTTCAGCAACATATTCCTCTTTCTTGTAAACCTTGAAGCGGGAGAGAAATTCGACAACGGCGGTGTAGATGACATGTGGTATTACGGGTGCACCGGAGGGAAGTTTCCACACTGATTTCGGATTCGCGTTGCGTTTGCGTTTATTGCCAAAAGTTAGGTTTAGACGGGGGAGATTGCCTCCAACAAGGATGCCATTAGGAGGACTGTTTTCTTCCGAAGGGTCTGGAAGGGCCATTGCAGCGGATTGAGAGTCGCCCCAGTTACGACCAGCCATTGTTTGATGGTAGAACTCCATGGCGTCCATGACAGCTTCATCGACCTATAAAATTATCAGTGACTGGATAGGTGGAAGGTTTTATAGAGAGCTTACATCGTTCTCTCGTCTCCAATCGGCAGGAACATGCTTGTCGCAGTATGCCTTCAGCCCCGATGCCTCCAATTGCGCACCCGGCCCAGAGGTATTCTTCATTTTCATGTGCAGCCGCGCCCGTCGGCCACAAGTAACATGGAAGGCTATAAAACAGCTTTTGTTGCTGCATTGAATGCATGCACCCATTTTTTGCTTGCAAATATAGCATGTCTGCCACGCCGAAGTCAGCAATGAAATGATGCCTAAAAAAAATACAACATGGTTGTAAAATCCAACCAGTTGGAACTCACCAGCCTCCATCTACTCTTCGGCACTAACTCCATCCCATCCACAGGTTCCATATAGGCCGGATTCGCTAATCGAACTTCTGGTATCCAAATAGCACACAAAAGATGACTCCATCTCGTTGTAGTGGTCTGTTTAAATGCCCCATCGGTATTTGGACAAAATATACAATGCGCCGTTTGTCTTGGTATCGTAAGGCATTTTCTACAAAGCCATTGCCCCTCAGGTATATATGGAACGCCATAACACTCTTGATGAACGGCAAGGTTACAACCATCACAGAAAACAATGGCGTTACTATTTTCGCATTCCCCGTCATCACAGATTGCGCATTTACTGTCCTCAGCCCCTTCCTCTTCCTCTTCATCATCACCAGCTGTCCGACGGCGTCGTGCAGAAAAGGATGTAGAGTGGGGTTTGGCTATGACCTTCGGGATCTTCTTTTCCAACGTCACCCATTCCTTTTCAATTTTTGTCATTGTTATTTCGAAAATTTCACGGGTGATGGGGGCGGCTGAGGTAAGGAGACGAAACGCATTGGTGGAGGTCAGCCATTTATCGTCTTGTTCATCCATGTCATATTCCACACGGTCTAGAATATCGACACTATTGAGTTCCTCATCGATGCCAAGGTCGGGGACATCACGGAGGAGGGTATTAGGGAGCGTGAATAGCGATGTTTGCTGGTAACCCATTAGCGCCATAGACCGATCTACCGATCCAGGTGTGGTTGGTTCCAGCCGACGACGACCCTTACCGGATCCCATGGAGTAGGAAGACGGTGGGTTATTGAGGCCATAAGGACCAGTGGATCCGACAGAAGAAGACCACGCAAATTCAGAGAATTGAAAAGGAGTTATCTTGCGATAACTTGGCTTCGGAAGGTTGAGCTTCTCGGCTTCAAATGACGCCTGGGTTGATGTTTGGGCCCGTGGCCGTCGGACCGACTGTGGGTGGGCAATAGTTTGACGGAGGGGGGGTTTGCCAGCATTTGATCGATGTGCACGTAGGGATGCAAGGGTGGGGCCATCATCGCCCCTACGAGAAGTTCTTATGGGGCCAGGTGTGACGGGAGGCTGAGTAATTAATACTTCTTCTGTTGGGGTGATGGCGGGTGTTTGTGGGATTAGTTGGTGATCCACTTGTGAGAGGGCCGGGTCGATTGGTATCTGAGTTGTGGGCTCTGGTGGCGGGGGAGAGGTGAGAGCAGCTAGGGCGGGGTCGATGGGGAGGTTGATATTGTAGAGATTTAGCGGTTTTTCGACGCCTTCTGCAGTGAGGGTTAGGGTAGGTGTGGGGGCATCGGACATGTCGATATCTATGTCATTAAAGGATGACGCGGAGACGGTACCGTTTAGAGCTGAAGAGTAGGCTGTAAATGATGATGTGATAACTCCAGGGTTTGTATCCAATATCTCATCAACATTTTGGCCATTCCCATCGAGACTCATTCCTATATCCCATCTCCTCGAACCTGTGGTAGACTTCTCTTCCTGCGGTTCGATCTCTTCCTTCACATCCACAATTTTCACACTCTTCCCGCACTCCGGGGGTTTATAGCTTGCTCCATCGACGTCCTCTGCGGACAAACATTCCAGCGTAGCATCCACATCTAGATCTGGATGGAACTCTATATAGCTCTTCTCCTCCCTTGGCTTGTAAACTCCATCTGCCACCGGCACGCTCGGAGTCACTGGAGCTCTTCGTCTGTTTGGAGCTGGAGTAGTGGTAGTGTTGTAAAGGTTTGCTGGAACGATCGATCCCGTGGAGTGATCTATATATCTTCCACCACCACCAGCACCTCCTGGCCTGTAACCATTCTGGTAAACAGGTCTTCGGCGGCCCGTAGGAGTATAGCTTTCCGGGACAGATGCGGGGAGAGACGAGGTACGTCTCCTACCACTGAGCAGACTATTTGCACGACCTCTTAGCCGCGGCCGGCCTCTTCCTCGACCACGAGTTGAGGGAGTACGTCCACCAGAACTAGGGGATGGTGCCATAGTGCCCTATTTGTTGCGATGGGTGAGACTAGGCTACTATACCATAGTCCAGCAAAACTAACGCGTTGGCAATGGTGATTTCGATGAGGAGAACTTAATTGAATGCTAACTGAGAGTGAGTTTGATGCAAAGAGCGAATTTTCTCTTCAACACAGTCTGGGGGGAGGTTTGAAGGAGGGTTGAGGTCGCGACCGTTATCAGATCGCCAAGAGATTGAGTGAAGAGCCCAGCTGATTGCATGATTTTTGATGACCAACCCCCTATGATCCTTGCTTGAACGCCTCTCTCAGCTGTAGCAGTACGGTATAACAAACAGAGGGACTTGGGCCAATAGAAATAAAATAAAAACCCTAGAGATCTTGCAGCTTGGCTCTTTCTTGCCATAACTATCCAACTAAAAGTATTATCGAGTGATGGCGAACGACTACATGTGTATATTGTCAACGATCACAAGAATAATCTATTCACCACAATAGCCCAAATGTATATGTAAACCTTTGATTTATAGTGAAAGTACGTCTTAAGTACATCATAATGTACATGTATACTTTGTGTGTAGGTACTTCTTAGCCAAGCTGTTTGTTGCCATGGTCATACGAATGATCCAATATACATGTATGTAGAGGTTGGTATATTCTATATATAGTTTCGATTCTACTCGTAATTTTTTTGCGTTTCCGGACTGGACTGGGTCCGCATATGGGCGTAAATCGTGCTTGACAACCATATTTTGGTGGTATGCGGACCCAGTCCAGTCCGGAAACGCAAAAAAATCACGAGTACATACATCCCTTCGTTCGTCAGAGCAAAAAGGAGACATATTAGGCCCACGACGGCGTGGTGATATTCAGAAAATCTAGCTACCTACAGACTGTGGAGACACCAGAATAAGTGTAGGGGGGGGGGTCACAGAAGGTGGTTTCGCAGCAAAAGAGGTTCACGGAGTGAGGGTTAGGTGTACTACTGAGTAAAAGTTGCCTACTAGCTCCCGGTCGTGGGAACGCACGAAGGGATGGATATACTTGTGCAGGTCATTTTAAGGTTATGTTGAGGTGCACAGAAAATACATGTACTGGACAACTCATACACTTGAACCCTTAGATTCATAAACTGATTATAAGTGCACTTACTCACGGGGTGAGTTACTTTGGGATGCCAAAGCAAATATGTAAATACTGCAAACACGGTCATCAGAGAACTACATGTAGATACGCCATCACCAGGTGAGTGAGTCTATCTACATGTAGCTATACCTGGTAACACAGCTAACATAACATTAGTATTATTCCACGCTTATAGCTGTGATGCAGATACACGAGATTTTCGATTCTAAAGGTACAAATTGCGGCTGTTATTCGGGCACTGGCGAACCTAATCCGAACTCCAAACTGATGCTATTCGATTTTCGCTAAATCGCACATGGCTACAAGTAGCTCAGATACACGCATTAAGAAAATATATTACCTCTATAGCGGAAATATTACTATTGCACCACATCACTGATCAGTTTATTCTGCGCCTTCAATTAAGGTATCTTGGGTCTGATGGTTTTAAAGTATCGGGGGCGGTATTTGGGGGAGTTTGCCGACCCGTGCAGATATTTTGATGTTCCCATGGCCCCTATATGGTCCAAAACTGGTAGACATGTGTATGTAGCAAAGGGTCTACGTTGAACATTGATTTTTTTTTTTTTGAAGGAACATGTACTGTAGATGCCATTGTATGTATGGCCGGATAGGGTAGGTATTGCAGGGTGGAATACAGCCTGCAAGTATGTACTCTAAGCTTTGGATATGGAGGTGCATGTGCGACCGCTTATGTAGGATGTAGTACCTACATGTCGGGTACTCATGTAGGTACCATAGATGTATCTAATCTTGATCTGCAGCATGCATAGGGCTTGCTTGGCGGAAATGACGTGATTGCTGACATGGGACCTTTGGGAACTCTGGAAGGGGGAAGTGGATGAAGAAGAGTTTGAGGTTGTTTGTGCTCAGCTACTTCTTATGTTTGTACTCTTCAAACATCACTGTTACCGACCCCCCAACACCTCATCCGCACAATAAATTTAAATTTCGATAAACGCTTACCCCTCTAATAGACCGCACCTTAATAATAACTGCAAGCCCTACGGAAACACCTTGTTTCATACACTCCAGTTGTCAATAATCTTTTCTTCATTCACGCTTCCCCACGGGTACCATTTCAACCATAACTCTTCATCAAATGACTATCCTCTTTGCTGTTTCTCAACACGATTTCCTTGCCCTTTTGATCTCACGCCTTCTAGGCTGGTCTTACTTCCTCTGTTGGTCAATATCCTTCTACCCTCAGCTCTTAGCTAACCACCAACGCCAGTCCGTCACCGGGCTTGCGGTTGACTTCTTTACTGTTAACGTCCTCGGATATATTTGTTACACTTTATCGTCATTTCTTTTTCTTTTCTCACCAACTGTGAGAGATGAATACGCTCGTCGACACCCTGGTGCCGAAGAGCCGACCGTAAGGTGGAATGATTTGGCATTTGCTGTTAGTTATGACCTCTTCAGCCGATTAATAAGTCGGGTTTCTTTACGGAGGTTGAGTTGCTAATGACAATAGGCACATGCGCTACTCATAAGTTCAATAACTCTATCGCAGTTTTACTTCTGGGGTTACAAGAGGCATGCATCACAGCATATGTCGCGGACTATGAGTGCTATTGCTATGAGTTGCGTTGCCGCCATAACTATCGCTGTGCTGCTTGCCCTTGGCAACAGCAACTGGGAATGGATCGACGTTGTGCGTATTTAACCACTGATCTGGGAGAGTGTTACACCAAATAGTCGTTAACTCAGATCCATTTAGGTTTATACACTGCAATATGTTAAGCTCTTAATATCCATAGTAAAGTACATCCCACAGGCGTATCTTAATTATCGACGCAAGGCAACCACTGGATGGTCAATACATAACATCCTCCTCGATATCTCTGGTGGTGCATTGTCGCTTGGGCAACTAGTGTTGGATTCAAGTTTACAAAGTATGTAAACCCCACTGCTTCAACCACGCCATGCTGTCCATGATTCCCGAATAACTATGATGCTAAACTATATTATAGGCGACTGGTCCGGCCTAACTGGTAACCCTATCAAGTTCTTCCTTGGTCAAATTACAATCATCTTCGACATCCTATTCATAATTCAGCACTACATCCTTTACCGTCATGCCGGGGCCCCGCGATCTGCTTTTAATTCTATCGAACGAGGTTACAGCACCATTTCTACGAGTCAGGCTTTACCTTCGGCATCATCACCTTTAGACCAAAACCGCCAAGTCCCTCGCGATGTCGCGGTACAGCATAGAGAAGAGCATAGAGGCCTGTTGGGCTCGAACGTCGGCGGAGCGATCAACGATGAACCTAATGTCGGAATTTAGATGTTCGGAACACAATACAGCATGGGGCTTTGTCTCATTTCCCGGGATACTTGATGGCTTGCAGACACAGGATTTGGAGTTCTTTTTCATGGGTTTTGGAAAATGATAGAGTTGAATGTACCTCTATTTATTTTGAGTTATAGGGTCTCGGAATTTTCTTCTTTGGTGCTTCTGATGAAGGCGTGGCATGATACCCTTTCCATTTTTATCCATCGAATTTTGGCATACAAGTTTTAGAATATTCCCTTCTTTGCATATATGTTATTTGATGTTTGTATAACAATATGCTAGACCTAGACTTTATCCATTTTGGATTCAGGCATTCTCTATAATATACATGATGATTTGGTGCACTTATAATTATAAAGTATCGTCATATATCTCAGAGGGCGGCGGCCATGGATTCACCTCAAACATAGGTATCCCTCGCGATCGTTCCGCCTAACAAATTTAAAAGGTGGCTTCCATCCCGTTTACCAGAGGGTTGCAAGAGGATCTGATCGCTAGGACGTCCCAAATGGGCTTTAAATACATGTATATTATAACGGTAAAGTAATTTTCTCATGAACTATCACTCGCCCAAACAACCCAGTACCTCGCTCAAAGCCTGCATGCACTAATTGCTTGATGAATCGCGCCAAATAGACGTACATTATATACCAGCCGTCTACATAACTACATGTACATGTACTAAATACATGGACCTACACCTGGGTATCACAAACCCTTTGGTCTCGTTCACAGTGTATCGCCCCTGCAGAAGCTAGCTACGACCCAGTATACAGCATTTCCCTACGCCAAGAGCGTGTAGGTGGCCGGTTAGGGCCTCAGTCATGTTAAAACTAGGTTTTCTTGTCGAGCTAGATCTAGCTAGATCTAAGGATTATCAATTGCTTCATACGCTGTCACTCGATATAGTGATAATTTCATCTTTTAAACTAGGCTATGCCAATTCGGAGAAATATTCACTCCGCTCCCTCAAAAGTAGTTATATGAGACGGGCAAGACCAGGATTACAGTGCGCGTGTTTACGTATCAGTACTTAGAATCTTGTCGCAGGAATTAAGCATATATGTAATTGCCCCACCACAGACCCTCAAAGAATTAAAAGTTAACAGTCCATCCTACAATCAATCTATTCCACTTAAATAGCGTGGTGCTTATATTTCTGGAACTCTTTAACCTGGTCCACCGGAAGACAGAAGATATAGGGACGCGCCTTGGAATGATAAAGTATGTATGTACTTTAGGCTTTCAATCTCCGCTTGGCCGGTGTATCAGGTCTATAGATCTAAGAATTCTATATTCATAGAACCATGCGCCTCCTTCATTCAATAGTTATAATCGGCACCGACAAAAAAGTCCACCTTCTCAGTCTTGAGCATGAAGAGTCGATAACATAGCTATAGGGAGTGGAATCTGGATCGATACAGCTCCTTATTGTAAGTCAATGTTCTCAAAACAAACTTCGTTTTGTGCTAGGTATCTGTGCTTGTAAGCACCATGATAAGCTGCGATTATCTATATAAAGAAGTGCAACACAAATTGCAAAGAGTGTCCGGGGATCCAACCGATTCTTGGGGGAATTTGCTTTGTCAACTCTCGAAGCTTATGGAGTTAATAGATCTACTATAGGTTGATAAATTTGGATATAGGCCTGCAATGTATCTGTGGACTGTGTGTATTAGATATAGGTCCCTGAAATGTTATATATAAGTATAACATGTAGTATATGCGTTAATACTGGCCGCACATGCACTAAAAATTGTTACATTACCTTCTGCATGCATGGCATTCCCATGTCTAGGACTTTACAGAGTGTGGTATAATACTACATGTAATAATCTGCGAAGTACAGCCACTCAGCAAAAGTGTTCGTGATATAGTTTTAATGTCAGTGCGCAGAGTGGCGCACCCGTTATACTGATGTTATTAAAGTTGAGATTCAAAACAACGAAAAATATATAATATAGTTTGTGACTATATATAAAAAGAAGATAGGTCATTGATCTTATTCTTCATTAATTTGGGCGCCATTGGTCACTGGGAAAGTCTTCTCTTGGGGGGTTCTTGATGGTCCACTGCGGTTACATATGGAGAAATGTCTCACTCCGAAATCGGAATCACGAACACTTTTGCAGAGTGGCTGTACATGTTTGTACATGTGTTTCAGCTTGGATGTTCAATATTATAGCTAGAAGATTTGGGCCCGAATCAAAATTATAGGAAGAGTTTCGACCTATAATATATATATAGCTGCATATATGTATATAATGCATGCGAAGTGTGTAGACTTTTAAGATTGGGCTAATTGTAGATCCAGCTAGAGTACATGTACTCTAGCAGCAGAAGGAGATCTGCATTATGCAACCATTGCTATCTAATGATAGATAAGATCAACTCATAATATAATATGTACATGTAGCTATTGATAGTCACACGGCGCATGTTCTAAGAAATTCAAATATTCGGATATTCGGGCCATTTCAGGATAGTGTGCTGTCCCCCTAAACCTACGAGGTGGAGAGATATGTGTGCATATATACATGTACCTCCGACACATGATTTTTCAACAGGCGATCCTCCAGCTGACCGGGAATCTCATTGAAATGTGGTGGCATTAATATTTAAGTAGCCCCATGGCCAATTATTTCACTGATGGATTTCTCAACCCCCTGACTCCGTCACGCGTGCAGTATATATATACTACATGTATCTCTGGATCCTGAACCCGAGCGCCCAACTACGTAGTACGTACATGTACACAGGTTAAAAGACTTTAAGAGCCACTAATCCTTTGGGGGGATGCCGAATAATTTGCAGATGATACAAGAAATGGTTGATCCTCACGATCGATGAGATGAAATATAGATCGTGTATGTAGGCATACCAAGCTTTGTGGTCACAGCTTTATAATATGTACATGTACTCTACCATCAAATATTTTAGATATCGATGAGTTTAGCCTTTCTGAAATTCTGGTCAACTAAACCAAACCAAGACGGATTTTCTCCAGAGTACGCCGGGATTAGTACCTGAAAGTGGCAAGTCAATACATTAGGAAGGTTGTACGTTACTTTAATTGAAGACTGGATGAGGCATAGCGCCTAATCCTCAGATCAGGGATGGTACAGAAGATTAAAAAGATATTATAATCGAGGGTGTGTAGGTACAGCTAAAAGTACCTACACATGTACCACTGAGAACCGAATAGATCAAGGCTGAAACTTTACGAAATTTATATGTATTACTTAAGTCCGTGCAACCCATTAAGTAGTAGACATTGCTTCAATACCGATAGAAAGAGGACTAGTAACGAGCATGCTACAGCACCTAGATCAGGTCCACACTCATATTGTTATTAACCTACCCTCGCTGCAAGATAATTTGCCTCAAAGGCGCTTAAACGGATCGAGCATTTTGTATCCGTCCATTGCCGGACACATGGACATATGAACTGTAGGGTATAAAGGTCATAAAAGTACGTGTGCCACGTACGTCACACGATTATGTGCAGAAAGTGAGTGATGCTGTTGTTACTCATGAGCCTCAACTTCTCCCGACCCTGTACCATACAGCTACATGTAGCTGCAGAGCTGCTCCTTACCTGTAGGTACTCTAGATCAGTGTGTACTAGCATGTGTGATTTGGATGCATACATATTCGTATGAAACTAGATATTGTAGGCTTTACATTATTATATATCAGTACCAGATTCTTGGTCTCTTAAAGAATCTATACCCGGATAAGTAATTATCACGACCAAGAAGTTGAGTTGTAGGTACATTACATGTACTTATCGTGCTCTGATGTACCTGATCGACGTGGCTGTGTTTGGCCTCTTCGCTTAAAAATGGGCTGAGAATTACGACAGGTAGATCTCTGGGCATTTGAAACCTTCTTTTGAGCCTCGATTTCGCAACCTCACCCTAGCTTGATATGGCGTTTTATAATTAGGTACAACTTTTTATTGGAGATCTAGCAAGTCAGAGGGCACAAGTTCCTCAGTTTATTCCCGATATCGGTCTATCATGATCAACGTTGTATACATAAATATGTACATGTAGGTACGCGCACGCGGAGCCAGATCATGACCACACACACATATCGTCAATCTAGGTCCCCAGAGCATCATTAGAGGACATGTACCTGCAGTATAAAAATTGGATGTAATAGACACGGAGTTCATTTATAGAACCTCTGACTTAAATCCGAATGCTAACTATTATACCGTAGTAGTAATACCGTAGTCCCGTGTTATTCTGCTACTGGATACATGTATCCCATAATCCGGTGCTTAGATGCTGTCTATTTGACAGAATATTATAATTACTAAAAGAGGAAGGGTGGCAGCCGAATATGTGTGTGATCCAGACACAAGCCACAGCTGAAAATACGCCGCCCGAATCAATAGGCAGCTTTAACGGACTATGGGATACCATATTGATTGGGACATCAACGACTGCTTCCCGCAAGTTCTAAAAGTTGTGCGATTTACGGTTTGACAATTGCAAGTGTGTATATTCGGTGACCTAGTGGTCGGGGTTCGTCGGACCAGCTACAAAAGGAAGGTATGATAGGAGAAACTTTGAAGATAAAGCAATTCCCCACGTTGCCAGTTTAAGTTGTATGTAATTGAGAAGGCGTGCAGAGCTGTCCACTCCTATCATGCCTGCCATGTGTGGTTAATTGGATGAATTTCAATTATGCCTGACTGCCGGGGGTAAATAACAGCTTACTAGCGCGTTGCAACCACAACATCAGGTACCAAACCGGACAGACTTTAAAATCCGGCGAGTAGTCAATCTAAGTTGTACGAGCGGCATCGACATAAAAATGATCATATTGAGTCAGATCCGCTCAAGAAATTCCGGATTTCGGTAGTATGCAGACCTGGCGTACTCGCGTCAGGGAAAAAGAACCAGAACATGCAAGTGAGAAAGCAGGGATTATTTGTATGGAGTGGCGCTGAGCTACCATACAAACTAGGCATTTGCATGTTCTGGTTCTTTATCCTAGACGCAAGTACCTTGGGTTGATTGTCAATGATTGATTCGGAGTAGGCAACGACCTACACAGCGTGAAACTCCCCTCGGCTAGCTGCAAACCAAATTGCACTATTCAGATCATATTACTCGTGTTTTCACAGCGTTTGTGAACACAACCGGCATTACATACACACAAAAAATAGCCAAGACAACCTTTTTGTATGGCATGCAATAGCGGTGGTGTTCACAAACGCTATGAATAGACGAGTAGTAGGGTGAATATATCTATAAAAAGCTCTTCTAAAATATACATACGTTAGTAGAGTACACTATGATGGCCATGGGTCTTCATCTTTCCCCCGCCTGGATTGAGGCGGCTACTGTATCATGATTAGATCGTGGGATTACTTGATGAGCATCAACCTCTCGACATTTTGCCTACATGTAGGTACTCTATGTACTCTAGATGTAAATTACCGTTGGAATGTTTTTTGCGGCAACATGAGGCTACAGCATCAGCAACCAAGACAGGGATGCCAGCCCTCGTTCGGCAAGGCGGCTTAAAAGCGGCTCATGTATGCAAGTCGGCGTCGAACGCTTGAGGCTCTCACATCGTGCCTCACCCCCCCCCCCACGATTCAAGTTCTCATTTTTGCTAAAGTACCGCATCTCTCGAGCGTCCCCCATATTTGTTTAGGGTGTTAAAAAGCAGAAACTCGTGGTACAGTCGCTCACCTACTGACGGCGGATCCTGTCTGATGGTTCTGTTTGCAGTAATTTGCCCTTGGCGTCCAAAACCTAACTCTTTTATTGGCCTCAATAGACAGGATCCGCCTTCACCCCGTGAGTGACTGTACAGCGAGTTTATCTCACGTCGTTCTGTCGTGGTCCAGACTTGTCAAATCCATGTATGTACCTACTCCACATATGAGCCGCTAAATAATAAAAGTTACACAAACCTTCGTATCATGTCTCAGAGTGCTCTAGCGTGGTTCCTGCTCTACTCTACAGTAGAGCCAGAGGCTCGTGCCGCACACCATATCTGTCACTATTCTGGATGCCGAGTGAAACATGCATGTAGGTACTCATCAGTAACTTCAAACACTCAAAACGGGCAGTATGGCAGCATTTGAACCATCTGAACTGTACTGGTAGATACACTGAGCTAGAGGCTGATTTCTGTAGAGCAGGAATCAGGTCGTATGTAGAGTAGAAGGAACCCCTATAAATATCGGACTTTGAAATAAAGACCACTTAGATTAAGCTTCTTGGATGGTTTGAATTGGAGAGGAGCGGTCCCGCGAGCTGCAAATGTTTGCCCGGCTCCAAAACCGATCGGGGAGGATTATGATTCCCTGTGCTGTAACTTGGGTAGATTGCACGTCATGCATAGCACCTTGACAAGGAACTGTAACCCTTAGAAGCTCTGTGAGGATTAAGTAAGAAGGGGGAAGTTGTGCATGGTGAGAGGAATCCACTCATCTTCGAACTCGGTTCCACTCCTTAGGCGCCTTTGAGCCTTTCCCTCACACACACAAATCAAATTCATAAAGAGCAAGTACTTGAACGAAGGCAATTTTTGGTGAGCATAGGGGATTATAAATTGCACACTTTACTAACAGTACCAGCAATCGTGTTTGTTAAGTTATATGAACACTTGGAAGTAAATTTTGTAGGCCTGGGCGGGGCCGGTTTACTGTGCACCTCGTTTAAAGTTTCACAACCTAATTGTGTTTTGCCGGGGGCTATGCCGGTCCTCTTACAAGACTTTTTTTTTCTTTCCTGTTAATCAAGTCGTTAACGACGTCGAGTATGAGAGAAATATGGATAAAGACCAATTACTCTAACGTTATGGGTAATTAATCAGTTACTGTATTCGAATATTACTTATTTGATGGTTTTGGTGATTTCCGAAGTCCACCATAAAGTACATACACGCACGCACATGTGCCGATACTTGGGATTCGAGACTTCACAAAGTTACGAAGTGATGAGACGGGTACTGTAATATCGACGGTGGCGATGTTGTTTCTGTGTAGCGACAGGCCAAGCATTCGGAGCATAAGAGCCCCATAAGAGCCCCTCATTTTTCGCCGCACTAACGCTGCTGGAAGGCGTGGAGTAAGGCTTTGGGGGGTGCACATACGCGGGCTGACATACATGCCTAATACTACTAGACTACCTAGTACTTCCGATATTGAAGAATACAAACCTCATGATACGTCTTGAGTAGCACTTGTCTAGATCATTAGAGGAAACTATAAGGTGCATATATGTACAGTGACCAAGTAGAGATAGATATAGTATATAGAATATCGTTTTCTTCCCTGGTTCAACTTGTAACGAAATCATCCAATCCCACTTCAGCTGTTTTCCGAGCTAATCCTCATCTCAACCGCCCCCATCCTTGCTGCATTCTCGACCCTGGTCAATATCTGCTTTTTGAGCCTGCGACATACAGGCTCGTTGCTGCAGCGCGGCTCTTTTCCTAGAGCCGGACCTTCCTTCACGTCCGGTTGTGTCAGATAGGTATTCATGTCCATGTTCATTCTTGTTGAGCAGCCTCGAGCTCGATCCCCCTTGCCCGCCCTGTGCAGCATCGCAAAGTAAATGATCCTTGCCGAGAATTTGAAGCCGCAAACACGCCAGATCGTTCGGAGCCTCCAACTGACATCCGCTCCCCCACCTCCACATCAAGGTAGCTGCAGTGAGGAAAGTTGTGGGTAGTTCTTCGCACAAGTACCCACTTACTTACGTTGTAAATAATTCTTTTACATATCACTCACCCTCTCATCTTTGTCTTCACCATTCCTTTACTCCCGGCTCACAATTCGGACCATTTCTTATACTTACAGAACGCCGACCCGAACCCGGAAACATCGGTCCCGGTTACGGAACCTTACAGCTCCCGTCGTGGTCTATAGTCCATCTGCCCATCTACCTCTAATCAGCCGCCTTCTTCCTCCTCCTATCACGCTTGAACCAACCATATCTTATCCATACATAGTACAGAGGAAGGAAATCCAATATTATTCTTACTTGCCTGGCTGTCCCACTCAGCACTCACTATATGTGGAGCTCGGACCCAGAGAGTTATGCTGGACGTGGCTAGATCTACCTAGTATTCAACATACTTAGTAGTAACAGAATAATCTTGATTGTCAGCCGCCCTTTTTTTTCTTTTTCTTTTTGTGCTGTATTTCTCCGGGAAACATCCTGTCTATAAACAGGACCTCGACCACTCAATCTCAATTTGATACATATTATATCTTTACAAAGGAAAGGAAAGGAAAAGTACGAGAAGTAAGGGAGTGGGAGGAAGAAGTGGAGGAAGGAAAGCATACAACATAACTAGTGAGTGAAAGAATAGAGCTGATCGAATTCACATCTGCGACAAAGGAAGGAAGGGATAGACACACTCCCCTTTCTAGAGCTGGCTGATCACCCGACTATTGGCTGCTGGAGAGCCGACCTAACGTATGGTTGTGACGCTAGTCCCTAGACTTCAATAGCGTACAAGTTAAGGTCTCGTCGCCTTGAGCCTCCAAAATCCCGCTAAGCAAGAAGTACTTCAAGAGGTCGCGAACTTAGCCCTCCACCCCTCAACTTACGATCCGTCTGTCCTGCCACTCCCTTTTACATTTTCTCTCTCCTTTCTCTCTCTACCTTCTATCTTCACCTTCTTCAACTACGAGCAGACTGCCATTCTAGGTCTTTGTTTCAACTACTGCTACAACTGCTACCATTACTGCCATTACTACCATTCTCCATTACTGCCATTACTACGTCCATTACTACCACTACTACTACTAAAATACTCTCTTCTCTGTTTTGAGTTGCCCTGCTATATCTCTTGATTAGTCCCAAGCCCTCCCCCTGTTATTCTTCGAGGCTCTTTTACCCACAACACAACCGTTGCAGCGACGCTATCATCCTCCCGTCATCCCTCCCCTCCTTTCAGCCTCTCAGCCTCATCATAATCGTCATCATCACATCCAAAAACAAAAAGTTTTTGGCTCGACGCAGGATCGTATAACGAAAATTGCTGTTGAGAATTAAACGATTAGGAAAATCGAAAAAAGCTACGATAACTGTGGCCCGCATTGGCTAATTGAAAGTTCGTTGCTTCTGGAAAGGTTATTATGCTGTGTGCTGTTCGGCGTCATCAGTCGTTGAATACGTCAATTTGTGAGTGTGTTTGCAAGTTTCGTCAGTTTGACTCGTTTGCTATTATTACTTGTCGCATTTCTTCATTTTTGGAGAAACCTCCGCTGTAACGGCTAAAAAGTGTACTTGGTCGTCGTTATTGTTCGTGGATTCCGGTTGGGACGGAGCACGGTTGGTCGTGCTTTGTGGGGCTCTGTGCTTGGTTCAGAGCCTCAGCATGAGCCGCATCTCACCACTCTCGAGGTTGAATCCATCAACTTTAGGTCCTAAATGAATGGAACCACGTCGGTTATCCTGCTGCATCTCTGTATCTTAACTTGATCGTGTTGCCACTTCTTATGCTCATAACTTTGTGCCTCTACCTTGTCTTTTATTTTCTCATTCAAATTTATTGCCTTTTTCTTTTTCCCTTTCGATCCCCTCTCCTATTGTGCGCGTCCTTTATTGCGAGTTTCCTCGATTCCCCCACCAATTTTGATCGGATAAAGCTGACCTCGGTATCTACCCTTTTCTCTTCGTCGCCTGCATAGGTCTTGATTCAGCACCATTCGATTCCCCTCCTTTCTCTGTGCAACTACTGCCAAAAATAAACGACATCCACGACCGTCGCTTCAAGGCTGGCATTAGCTTTAGGAAAGTAAATTCGGATTTTGACATTCAATTTCAAAAGGATAATTTTAAACAAATTTGTTGCCTCTTTACTCAAACCTGGGGTAAGTGAACCCCCGTCACCCAGGATATGCGAAATAAGAATGAGATCTTGCAGAATCTGATTAGGATAGACAATTCAGCCGCAGGGTGCCTAACCCACGGTTCGAAGGACGGATCCATTAGCGGCCTAGACCCCATCAAATCTAAACCCAAGTATAAGAAACCAGCAGATAAAAAAAGCATTGGTGAAGGGCAATACATTGAGCAGTCGCATGCCAACTACAGGTTAGAGCATGCGCTAAAATCTCTCAGACTTGGGACAGAGCAGCGACCAAAGGACTTCCCTATCCCTTCAAATCCTCAAAAATCTGCCGCTCCATCGAATCCCAATTCCTCAACACCACCCCCAGAGGCACTACATCAATTAACTTGCGTCTCGCCAGTCCCGCCCCCAAATCCAAAAAGCAAAAGACAAACCCCCGAGGGCCTACCGTTGACGCCCTCTCAACGACCCCCAATCCAAAACGAGGCTATAGACAAGATAACTACGCTGAATTCCCATCTTTACGATCCTGGGCCGGTGGACTCTAACTGTTCCACCCCCACCGTGTCCACTACGTCTTCTCCAGTACTTGAGCAGGCTCACCCGCAGCTTTTCCCTGATAATTATAACCAGGGTGAGCGCCGCGATTCCATTGTATCACAGGATTCTACAGTGGCCGCTTCAAGTCCGCGGCCGAGGGGAATTCCACGCGCATCACGGGGAGACGCCGTCCTTATTAGTTTCCTCGCACCCGATCAACCTCAAATTGCACTTAGGGCCGGTGAGAGTCCATTATTTTGGCTCAGTGGGAGCGAATCTACGGAAACAGAAATGGAGACAGAGAATGGGGATCATGACAGGCCAGGTGGGGGTGACGGTGATAATGATAGCAGGAGTATGAGCAGACAACAATCCGATGAAGGTGTAAATGGCAACGGAAACATGGATAATGGCGAAGGAAACTCAACCGATGGCGGCGCAACTAAAGGTGGCGATGGAGGAGGAGAAGGAGGGGGCGGCGATGAACGAAAAGGAAATTCCGGAGATGGGGGTAAAGAGAAAGGGAATGGAGCTAATGGGAGTGGTGGAGAGAATAACGACAAGGAGGAGGAGAAAAAGGAAGAGGACAAGAAAGACAAGAAGAAGGCTAACGAAATGGAACAGCTGACTTCGGATGCTGATGCAATGGATATTGATGAAGGTCCCAATGGAGGGTCCGTGAATGGGGAACAAAAGCTCAAGAAGGAGAATGATGGAACAAATGATGGCGATACCTCTATGGGAAGAAAGGATAGCAATGCCATGGAGGTTGAAGCACCTTCTTCCGAAGCAGCGGTGAATAATCTCATGGCTCTTGCGGGGGCGGCTGGTAAAGATCAACAGCCCTTTTCATCAGGAGCATCGCTTCCGGCCATTTTCCCCACGTCCACGAGTGGTGGGTCATGGGCACCAACGCCTCATGCCCAGTCACCTCCCGGTCAACATCTCAAATTACCGTTACCCAATTCCTCTCCTTCTCTCCCCTCAATAATGAATACCCCTTCGGCAAGCTCGCCGCCAAATAGTCTTCCTGGAGGCGATGGGAGGCACACGACTTTACCACCAGTATCGTCAATCCATGTTCTTGCAGATATTGCTGAGAAGGAGTCTTCTCAGCAACAGCAAACCACATGGGCTAACAACAATCGTATGGCCCCAAATGCTAGAACGGTTTATCCAACCGTGTCGTCCCATGTGAGTGTCGCGCCTTCTAACAGATCGGCTCAAGCCGCCCAATCACCTGGACTCCCCCCTCCTGCACAGGCAGCCCACGGATACGGCCCTGACGGAAACCCTCGCCCGCCTATGCATCACCTCTCATTACAGCAGAGACAGATTCTCTTGAGCCAGGAATATTACCCCCCGCACCATCAGCACTACCAGTCTCCCTATCCACCTATAAAAGATGCAAGTAGCAACGGAAATCCAAACTCCTTTGGCCCAAACTTTGGACGTGAGCTTCCAGGTATCATGAGTTCACCACCTCCCAGTGGAGGGGCCAACTTTTTTGCGCAGCAGCATAATATGCCATCAACGATAACTGGGCGAAGAGATTCAGCATTCGAATACTATTCAGAACACACACCGCCGTCGGGCCCAAGTACAGGAGAAACAATGGCCAGCTCTGATGAGACTGTAACAAGTCCCAGGAACCGTGCAGGAATGCCAGCTGGAAATCAAGGAGCATTATCTGCTGGCGTTTTCAAGTGCGAATATCAAGGTTGCAAAGCTCAACCTTTTCAAACACAGTACCTATTGAAGTAAGCCAAAATATACCAATACATAGTTCACTGTACTGACATTTTTAGCTCTCATGCCAATGTACACTCGTCCGCTAGACCCCACTACTGTCCTGTAAAGGGCTGTACAAGGGCAGAAGGTGGGAAGGGGTTTAAAAGAAAGAATGAAATGATCCGCCATGGATTAGTTCACGATTCACCCGGATACGTCTGTCCGTTTTGTCCCGATAGGGAACACAAGTATCCAAGACCAGATAATCTACAACGGTATTCTAAACAACCTCTTGAATTCTTGAATTTGATTTTCTAACATGAGGTTTTGTAGGCATGTGCGAGTTCATCACATGGATAAAGATAAAGACGACCCGCAGTTGAGAGACGTTCTATCCCAGCGACCTGAAGGAGGAAACAGAGGTCGAAGACGAAGGCTGGGGGCGTGAGACTTACATAGGGAATTGTTACGATATGGGGCGTTTTACTTTCGTCATGCATTCAGCGACTGTTAATGAGTACATGATTGTTTTCTCTTCTTGCTGTTTCCATATTTGTTTCCTTCGGTGTTTTATTTGTTTGTTTTCTTTACTCCTAGGTTTGGGTGTGATAGTTGCAAAGGCTCTGGGGGTGGGTTTTTTCATTGATTTCATTTTTCCTTTCTCATTCGGAAATATTTAGTGGGGAAAAAACAGGAAGAGATATACAGTTGACTGGATGATCAGTAAATTAGCGAATTCAGCTCCTGGAGAGCGCGATCGAAGGAGAAAGGGGGATAGTTGTGCTTTAATTTCCCGTCTTTTATCCCCTGTTGAATCGCATTTTTACTCCAGAATTTAGGGCCCACTGGGGTTCTATGTGCAGCCTCCTTTAGGTTTTGTCTCTGTATGTAGTACTGTTTTGATTCGAAAAATACTTGGATTTAAGCAACACCAAAGCATGGCCTATATTTCTTTTTTTCTTTCCATGATTTATCGATTGTCAGTACATGTACATGTAGCTATAACCAATGTATATACATAAGTGTAGGCATAAGAATATGCGTAAATACATGTACATTCCATGTATTAGTGCGTTTGACACATGTGCAGACAATAACGTCAATAAAGTACATGTACCGCTGTATATACACGATACGTAGTAGCAAAATGTTAATTTCCAACTACTACAGCTTGCCCATCAGCGAGCGCTGCCCCCGCTACCCCCAGGATGCAACGGTTGCCACCCACCAAAGTTTGGTGGACGCTCGCTGATGGGCAGCGCTCGCTGATGGGCAAGCTGGTCTATGTATTTGCATACATGTAGTTAACCTAGAAGGAAGGTAGTGTAATGTACGATGGGAGAATCAATTATTAGATATCTGCCATTTGTGGTTAAACAGATGGATTTTGATTGGGCCTGACTGCCTAAAGTAAAACATACGTTGCCAAGCCTATTTGTTGCCCCAGCAACATAATCTCAGCTTTCACTGTTTCCAACACTTCGTTTACCCTGTCACTCGCGTTCAACCACCACAATTCAAGATGGACGAAATAACCCACCTTGCCAACGAAACCCCATGTCCTATCCGTTCTTTCCCAGGAGGGAATCAACAACAGCTGCAGACTTCCTTCCCGCTAGTAGCTTCTGACAATGACGATGATGACGATGAAGACCTTGATTACACCAGAGCTCTACCTGATGATTTCCAGCTTTTTCCAAAAAGAGCAACCAAAGTTCGAAAGTCTGGGCTGCACGAGCCCCCGAGACGGATGACAGGGGTACAGAAGCAGGACCAAAACCAAAATCAGAACGGACGACGTCAGACAGCGCTAGAAAAGTCCGAGAGAGCTCCAGAGAGAGTTATCGATCGAGCGCCAGAGAGAGCTCTCCCAGAAAAGGCACCAGAAAGACCCCTTCCTCAAAGAGTATCTACAGAGAACAATTTCCACATTGATGTCATTCAAGCCTTGCAGCCGCCGCAGCAGCAGATAAGAGGACAAGGATTGCATCAACAACCAAGAAGGATAGGAACTGGAATGGCAAAAAAGATTGAAACCAAAAATCGACGTAGGGTTAGTACAATGCTTGCGGCGATGAGATCCCAGGTTCAAAATGAGCAGGAAGTTCCGGTTGTTAGTCCATCAGTTGTATCATCAGCAAGGTCTTGGCAGGAAAATGATAAGTCCATGCTTGGTGATAAGGCGAGGGGTTCCTCAAGTTCCCAGGCGAAGTCAAATACCGAAGTTGCGCCGGTCGAGAAGGAGTCTTTGTATGTACCTCCAAGACGAATGCCGCTTCACGCTTCGTCGCGTGGTCTTCACCAACCGGGGGCTGATGTTGCCCGTCGTGGGAATTCGGGAGGGAAGGAAAACATTCCTCCTGGAAAATTTCCTGCTGCGTGGAGCTTTGATAAGAACGCGGGGAGAACTTCTAGTGGGGGCGAAAAGGAAACCAAACAAGCAAATATCAATACTAGTATCGGAAACATGAGACCGCCTGCTTCCAGGGGGCCACAACGATTCGCACGGGAATCCTTAAAACGGAGCAGCGAGTCAATGATACTGGATGATGATGTTTCTTTCACATCTAGCTCTACACCATCCACAGCAGGGTCTGGAAACTCTTCGCATACTAGATCAGATAAACTCCGACTTCTTAAGCGTCGGAGGCTTGGCATGCAACTCCTACCAACACCGCCTTCTTTGACGAAAGAAGAGGAGGCCGAATTGGCGCCATTTTCACTCCCAATGGATATTCTTCAACCCGGGGCCCCTTTCCAAATCTTAGGTGGCAAACAGTCTAGGCAACGGCTAAATCCAGTATTACAAGAGGATTTGCGTAGAGCTGAAATGTATGAGGAGTCGTGGCTTATGGCACAAGAATCTTCAGTTTCTCAACTCTTAAACTCTATTCTATCTGACTCTACTACTCCACCTCATGAACTTACAGTACGGAAAGACTTTGTGCGAATATACTCAGAACCTCCATTTCCGTTGCTTTTCAAGCGTCTACAGGCTAGTCTTCTTTATGGGGCTCTATCTGTGCCAAAAGATATCCTCGAAAAGAGTTCAGCAGCGAAATTTGGAGGGGTGGGTATCGGCCACAAAGGTCAAGGCTGGGGGTGGGCAGAAGACATTGCCATACGCAAAAATTTCATGGCCCTTTTCTTCGATTGTTATAGTCTATCGGCTTTGATCCCGGGGTTGGAAGTCGTAATTGGAAGGGAGATGTTTCCGGACCCATACAAGAGCGCTACAGAAAAGAGAAAGCTCGCCGAGGTGTTCTTAGAACGGTATCTTGTGAAATGTGAAGATGTGTTGGCATGTCCGCCCGTTGAAACAGCTAGGGCGAGGGGTGCCATGGCCAGTTCGCATGGAGATAACGAGGATTGGGGGAGCCCAGCATGGTTATTAAGGAAAAGTTTGCTGAGGAGTTTGTTACTTGTGTTGTTGATGGACAAAGGAAAATCTCAAGGTGCGCTTGGAAGCTTAAAGTTATTTAAAAAGGCACGCAATCCCTTAGTAAACCCTATATTCGCTTAGAGCTATTTTTAATTATTTTATAGTCGTCGCCGCATAAATCCTCGGTATCAATCCTCCAGTCCTTGTCAAGGCTGCTTCTGCCATCGATAGGAGATATTCTAAGACCATTAAGTCACCTTAATTACCTCCCTGAAACATCGCAACACCCGTTAGAAGAGTATGAGTACGAAATATCGAACCTGGCAGTAGATATGCGTGATGGTGTACGTCTTTGTCGAATTGTCGAGCTCTTAATCTATCCCCAGCCTCCACCAGACTCAGAAAATGCACTAAAGAGTATTCATCAATTACCCTTATCTTCCAACTTGAAGCTCCCTGCGGCCACAAAAACCCACAAGTTACATAATGTTTTATTAGCCCTAGCTGCCCTTGAATCCGTCGGGGGGAACCCGCGCAATGTTACAGCAAAAGAGATCATTGATGGGTTCCGCGAGAAAACGGTTGGACTGTTATGGGGAGTTGTTAGTAAATGGGGGCTAGAGCTATTAGTGGATTGGGGGGAAGTGAAAAAAGAAACCAGAAGGCTCCAGTATAGGTCAAAGCGTCTTTCGAGCGGTGAGGATGAGGACATGGAGGAACCGACTAACTACGCGCAGCTACTGTACAAATGGGCAAGTTCTGTTGCGGAATTACATGGTTTATGTGTTGAAAACCTTACGACAAGTTTTTCGGACGGGAAGGTGTTTGCCAAGATTGTGGAAGAGTACGAGCAATTTTTTCCAGTGAATATAAGGAGAGGGAAAAGCGCAACGTTGGAGGAGAAGCTGAAGGCACTTGGATGCAGCTCGTACTTTGGTAAGATCCGCAAAAAGGATATCTCTAACTACATAATGCTGATCGGCTTGGCCATTTTTTTTTTATAGCTGGGTTGTTTGCCAATTCAGAGAAAAACGAGAGAGTATTTGACGAGGATTTTATTATAGCTGGATTAGCCTATCTGTGCTCGAGACTGTTCCAATGGTCAGTAAAGGAACGGGCGGCAGTGGCAATCCAAAGGGCCTATCGATCTCATGCTTTTCGCCATACTTCTCATAAACGGATCGCCCTTCTCATTCTCGCTCACGAGTGCGCTATAGTTGCCAATACACGAAGTAGGGTTACGAATGCTGCAATTATCATCCAACGGGCTTACCGACAATACCTTCATCTTCAGATAAAGAGACTTATTAATGGCATGACGAAAGTCCAGTCTATTATGCGTGGTGCTCTTACGCGTATGGTATTTAAAAAACAGATAGCAGCAATTGCCATATGCCAAAGAACATGGAGAGAAATAAGGGAATCTAGATTTCAGGATAGGATCGGTATTGCCAAGGAGGCAATGATGAGTTTCCAGGCTGTCGCCAGAGGTTTGTTATTGAGAAAAAAACTAGAGCAGCAAAGGAATGCCTTAAGGACACTCGAAGAGTGGTGGTTAAACCAACTTGCTCAGCGGGAAATTCGGACAGAATATCTGATCTTGAGAAGTGCAACTATTATGATTCAAAAATGGTGGAGGAATCAAGTTGCGGTCCAAATCCCTCGTCGGGACTTCTACCATACACGAAACGCAATAGTCAATGTTCAAACTATTGCTAGGGGTTTACTGGTACGTCAAAGGTGCGAGAACAAAATTCGAGCGGCATGCGTTATCCAGCAGCAATTCAAGGCATATAGGGCGGGTCTCATGGGCCGATTAAATTTTCTTGAGTTGAGATGGGCGACACTCAATGTTCAACGTCTTCGCCGATCCTATGTCATAGCACGGCAGGAGAGGGAGCGGTTCATAGCCTTGAAGACCCAAACAATAATTCTCCAACGTAATTTCCGGAGAATTATTGAAAGGCGTGATGCGACAATTCTGATTCAAAGAAGTTGGAGGAAGTTTGCCTGGCTGGTTAGATTAAGGAAAATATTTAGAGAGGTGGTCATGATCCAAAGTGTGTGGAGGGGATATAAAGTGCGAGAGGCATCAAATGCAAGAGTGAGAATTGCGCGGCGAAGGGTTCAAAAAGCTATATTATCCCAGGTGGCGGATAATGACCGATTGTGCGAAAGGGAAAAAAGGGGACTGGAGTTAGTCAAATCACCTGCGGGCTATGGAAGAGGTGTTATGCAGTTGGGTATGTAATCATAAACCAAGAGTTTGTGGTCAGTACTAACCACTCATTTATAGATATCGTAACCAGATATTCAAGAGAATGTGCAGTTAGAGTCGTCAAGAACGAAGTCGCTATGGCGGCACTCCTCTCCAATATCGAAACATCCCTTAAACAAGCACAAAAGTCCGTCACTGCTGCCACCCGGAACCTTACCCTTGCGGTCAATATAATTCACAACATTTCACAATCATCTTACGCAGTCGTAATACTCGCAAAACCACCTCAGAGACCTGCGAAAAAAACAGTGGCTGGTCATGCTACTATTCCAAGAGATGTTTTTACTATAATTCTAGATGTCATCGATACTATGAAGCTTGCGGCCGCGAATACCCCACAGTTAGAAGTCCTCAACACTTCGATTTGCGTCCTAAAGCGGGCTGTAGCAAACAGTAGTGTACGCCAAAGACTTTTAGCAAGGAAAAAGTGGGTAGAGAAACTTGGCATAGTTATGAAGGGGATCAAAGCGGACGAGGAAAAAAGGGTTAATACCAGAGGTGGGGGTGGGAGAATGGAATTGGTAAAATCTTCTGCTCTTGAGCAGATCATAACCGCCCTGCATAGCTGATTTTTTCGGTTCTCGATACTTTTTAAATGGGCTCATGACTACGATTTTTCTTGCTTGGGGCTAGGGGGTCGGTTTTCACATTTTTCACTACGCACTATTTTGTACGGCACGTTTTATGTTTGTTTATTGCCCGGATAGTTGGCACCGTACGTAAACGAACGAAGGGAGTTTTATTCTACGCACTGGTTTTGTGGGTGTTTAGGACTAATGATTTTTGCTTTCATTGATGTAGATTTTGTTCGCTATCTCATCGAAGTAACTATATGTACTAGTTTAGATACACGTAGTCACCAAGAATCTCACACTCAATTCGCAGTTTGTGTTATCTATGGAGATTGCACGTGACCCTGTAATGAACGTCAGTGGCGTGGAGAAGCAACGATTTAGAGTACATGTAGAGTCGACAAGCGAATAAACACAAGCCTCGAAGCTAGAGCATTGGTGCCTGTCGCCCGGTAAATTTCGAACACGTCTGCGGCTGCAGGTCCCGATAAAGGTGTGTTACCGAAAATTTAAGCTTTTTAAGATGCCTAGGTTTTTTTTTTTTTTTTTTTTTCTTTTCTGAGGCGGGTTTATTGCCACCCTTGTTAGCTAGCCAGTGACCTCTGGGTTACTCGCTTGGCAGTACTTACTCACGGCATATCACTCGGGTGTTTGGGTATTATTTACGGGTAGCAATTGAGATGAGGGGTTTGGAGGAGGTTTATAGAATTTACTTGATCAAGTGAGGGCCTTTTACATACTCTTATACTAGGAGAAGCAGTAACTACATGTAGCTTATAGCCAGGTTAAATACATGTAAACTCTGATGAAAACAGTATTGCTGTTTCTAGGGTAGCTGACAATTGTTTGTCGCGCGGTGTTGTAAAAGATGAATTATTTCTTACCGTATTAGGATATATAGGAGGCACTGCTTGGAATGTTGGGACGCCCTAAGAATATGACCCGGTTTGACCATTGATTGAGCTATTCATCTAAGATAGGAAGAATATTAGGCCTTAATGCGTAGATAATTCAATTTAATGAGGTGAAGTGAATTGTCGAGGATGCCAAGGTGAGGCTGGGAGACAATGCCAATGGGCTACTCCAAACATGGCTAGTGCAAGGCACCTGATTACTCGCAGTGAGTAGCGGTACGTAGTGTACTCTACTTGGTAACTTTTGGTGTCTACGTTTACATGTAAATATCTAACAATTAAGTTAGCAGGAACCTTCGCGAAAGAATGTTAGAGAAAAAAAGAATTCTAGAAAGGGACTCATTCTGAGGTTGTAGACCTTACTAGCCGCATCATTTTCGTTGTCCCCCAAAATAATCATTCCCCACCCAAATCTTTACTCACGCGATTGGATTCCAAGTGTCAGTGTCAGGTTTGTGGTATGCGGGAGTCTTTTTCCCATTAAGAATATTCGAGCTTGGTTGATTCGATTTAAACTGTTGTTTTCGTTCCCCTTTACACCATTCCCCAGCAAAGCCCAGTTGCGTCGCGCGGCTTCCTCCCTTGTCCTGTCGTGTCTCGTCTCGCCACTCTTCACGCGTCGACCCCCGCGATCTTGATTCTTGATAATCAGATTGATCTCCCGCGCTTTTCTTTTCTCTCTGTTTGTAAACCGACACTGCCGGCGCCCAAGGCATTCAATTTCTTCCTTCCTTTTTCTCTTTTTTTTTTCTTCTCACGCCTTTTCTTTCTGGACTTACTATTCCTCCCTCTGTTGTCCTTTGGTACAGTGTTCAGCGCACTTCAGTCACGGATCCCTTCGTCGCTGAACAAAATACACAGTACCTACATCATAGATACTCGCTCTCCAGATCCCGCTATCGATATTATTACTGCCACTGTCGCTGCTCTCCCTCGCGCCCTCAAAAACGTGCATTTCAATCAGAACTGCGATCGTTCGCCTGGTTAAGGCATCGTGTCAGATTTAAAAAAAAAAATCTTTAATTATCAAGTATGTTGAGGTCCTTGCTCTCTATAGCTCATCCGTATATCACGTTTTATTTCTAGCTGTCCTTTCACCTACCCTCTCTCCCCCTCAACTACTACTGCTCTCCACAACCCCCCTTCCACACACGCACTCTCTCTTCCTCGTACCTATCTGCTTCGGCTATTCTCTCTCTCCGTCTTACATCTTGTATAAGTCGGAAATATTTACAATCTATAGCACTAACTCTTGGCCATCCTTCCCAGGAACTCGTCACTCCCGCAGATCGCTCTAAATGCCGGTTCGTGGTGCGGCAGCTGCTTCGGCGCGCAAACGGAAGCGTATTAAAGACGACCCTCTCGCGTCAGATTCCGACGACGAGAACTTCAATGATGCTCCATCTCCGAAAGCGACTAGTCGTAAATCGAAGCCTACTGGCAAGGGCAAGAAGAATACATCCAGTGGCAGGAGAAGACAGGACACCTATGATGATGATGAGGAGGACGATGACGACGAGATCTCTGATGATGACGGGGAGTCCATCGATGAGGATGATGAACCAGTAGAGGTTGGTCTATCTGGGCGGCCAGTACGCAAAGCAAGGAAGTCCAAGGCTACCAACTATGCCGAAGACGATTCAGAGGAAGTCGAGCGTGTGGACGAGATTGAGGACGACGATGAGGACCAGCAGGCAATAAAACCAAAAAATTCAAGAAAAAATGTCAGAACAGAAGCTCCACCTACGAAAAAACTAGTCATCAAGCTAAGAGTAGGTCCGGCTCAAGTTGGACCGAAACATGAGGCCTCAAATCCTCCCCCTAGGAGGTCTACCAGGGCTGCTTCAGCAAACGCACAGACGCGTCCAACTACTTCTGGTAAAGCACCTACAAAGACGACGGGCACCCGTGGGGGTAGCGTTGGGCCTCCTACTGGTACCGCTCTTACAACAAGAAGAAGCAGTCGACTAGGACATGACAATGAGCCATTTGTCAACTCGGGAAAACACACAGAAGTCCTTGGCCACGAAGCAGTTATCTTGGAAGAGGGTGAGACTTCATTGGAAACATCTGCAACCCATATATCCAGTAACGGCGATTACAAAAGGGAAGAGGAGGATTCAATATTATCAACAGCAGCGGTTCATGGAAGTTACGGTTCAAACGCCATAGATAATCACGATCAGAGTGTACCAGCGGAAGTTACTGTGGAGGTCCCCGCTACAGATACCATCGAGGCCGAAGAAGATTTAGATGCGCCTGGAGACGAGGAAAGCGTGCAAGGAGATCTCGATGCAGGCCACGAGGCAGACGAGGACGAAGACGTCCTACCTAGTAAACGAACCCGCACTAGAAGTATCGGTGGAAGCGGGCTTCGTGACTCCACAATCTCCCCACGGACAACGAGATCAGCCGCAGACAGAGAGCGAGCATTGACCATGAGTGCTGATAAGCGGAGCCACAAAGATTCTCCGTCCAAGGGTGGGAAACGTCTTGGACGGTTGAGGAAAAGTACTCGCGGGGGTAGCCGGAAGGCCGGGGGTGAAAGTGACGAAGACGAGTACCGGGAAGAGGAAGGGAGCGGCGATGAGGAATTGTCTTCAGACGCAGGCTCACCAAAGGCACCAAGATCAACGCAGGCATTTATAGCCCAAGATGATGAAGACTATTCCGAGGCGAACAACACACGACGTGGAAGAAGTCAAGGGAAGCGGCCAGAGCAAGCAGCTTCTCAACTAAGAAGCAAGCGACGACTAGATTCCTCGGATCATGAACAAGTGAGCCAGGCTGAACAGTTGGAGGCGGCGGAAGAACTCGAAGAACTAAGGCCCTCACCTAAACGGCGGAGGGCAACCAGAGGATCTGGGCCGTCTGGGGGCGAAGCTCCTGACAGGACTCTTAGAAGACGAGCTCAACCTGTTGACTATCGGATCATGCGGCCAGAAGCCGGGATATTATTTGACGAGCCTGAAGGGGGCGCATCAACTCCCTCAAGGAGACGTACTGGAGCTGCTGCTGCTCCAGGAAAATCTCTTTTCGATACGTTTGGCCCATTTGGTGGTGGGAGTGGGCCTGTGCCCTTGTTTGGTCGACCAGGAAAATTCAGCAATTTGCCTCTCGATATTGACTCTGATAGCTCAGACGATGAAAGAATGCAAAAACCTAGTGGTGCTGGAGGAATGCCTGGTATTGGCGGAGGAATGGGCATGACTCCCACAACTGCTGCAGGCCCAGGACTACTCCCTTCGATAGCTCAGACACACAATATGGACGCACTCCAAGGGACACCGGCAAACCTTGGAAAGGTTACAAAGCCGGCGAAACAAACGCTTGCAGATGCGGACCCGTTAGGTGTTGCTACGGATATTACTTTTGATAGCGTTGGTGGTCTAGACGACAAGATCCACCAACTTAAGGAGATGGTCCAATTACCTCTTTCTTACCCGGAAATTTTCGCTGCAAAGAACATGACCCCACCTCGTGGTGTGTTATTTTATGGACCTCCAGGCACTGGTAAAACATTGATGGCGAGGGCTTTGGCTGCTAGCTGTAGTTCGGAGAGCAGAAAAGTTACTTTCTACATGAGAAAAGGTGCCGACTGTTTAAGCAAATGGGTCGGTGAAGCCGAAAGGCAGTTGAGATTGTTGTTTGAAGAGGCCAAGAACAATCAGCCAAGTATCATCTTTTTTGATGAAATCGATGGTATATTTTCGCCCCTTTTTGTTTCATGATGTGGTATCTCACTGTATATATAGGTCTTGCCCCTGTCCGTTCGAGTAAACAAGAACAGATCCATGCTTCAATTGTTTCAACGTTGCTTGCTCTTATGGACGGCATGGACGGTAGAGGCCAAGTTGTGGTCATCGGAGCAACCAATAGACCAGATGCGATTGATCCAGCCTTAAGAAGACCTGGTAGATTTGACAGGGAGTTCTACTTCCCGCTTCCTGCAACCGAGGCAAGAAGAAAGATCATTGATATACACACAAAGGGATGGGAGCCACCGTTGGAGAATGCATTTAAGGATCAATTGGCAGAATTAACGAAGGGATATGGTGGTGCCGATCTCAGAGCATTGTGTACAGAAGCTGCGTTGAATGCCGTACAAAGAACATATCCTCAGATCTACATGACACCGGAGAAGTTGAAGGTTGATGCACACAGTATCAAGGTTTTGGCCAGAGATTTCATGGTATCCTTGAAAAGTGAGTAACTTGTGCCCATATACTTACAGAACATCTCTAATTTTCCTAGATATGGTGCCTTCTTCCGAGCGGTCATCATCTTCGGGTGCATCGCCATTACCAAGGCATATCGAGCCATTGCTTTCCTCCCAACTTGATTCCATCAAAGACGCTCTTCAGTTGATTCTACCTGACAGGAAGCGCTTGTCTGTTTTTGAAGAGGCGCTGCTAGAAGATGACATGGGTATAGATGGAGGCTTTGAACGTGAAAAAATGATGTCGGATTTTGAAACTGCTCGGGTCTTCCGCCCAAGGTTATTGATCCATGGGCCTGCGGGTATGGGCCAACATTATATCGCTGCTGCGATTTTGCACCACTTAGAAAAAGTTCATGTTCAGTCATTCGACCTTGCAACTTTAATGGGTGATGCAACGAGGTCAATGGAGGCTGCTATCGTTCAGTTATTCGTTGAAGTAAAACGGCGGAAACCTAGTGTTATTTTCGTTCCTGAAATCGATATGTGGTACTCATCGCTGTCTGACCATGCCCTAGCTACATTTAGAGGCTTACTACAGAGTATACCTGCCAATGAGCCTATCCTTTTTCTTGGAATAACCGAACAAGAGGTTAAGGCCCTGTCTTCCCAAATGCTCACAGAGTTTTTTGGATACTCGCGAAAGGATCGCTTTGAACTTGGGAAGCCCGATAAGGTTTGTTCTCGGTATTTTAAAGCCTATATACGTAGGTTATTAACGGTACTATGCAGGATGCACGATTCCAGTATTTCGATAACGTGATCTCGCATATTCGCAAGGCACCTACAGACTTCCCGCCCGATGCCAACAATCGCAAAAAAAGGGTTTTGGAAGTGCTTGAAAAAGTAGCGCCACCTCCACCCCGCGAAATGACAAAGGAGGAAATCAAAGCGCAAGAGCAGAAGGATCGGCAGATCAAGAACTGGCTTAAAATTAGGCTTAACCCAATGATGGAGTCTATCAAACAGAGATACCGCCGTTTTAAGAAACCAGTCATTGAATATGATCTCATCAAACATCTTCTGGACCCCCCTCCCCCGCCCGATGTCGAGATTATAGCCTCTGATATCCCACCTCCACCAGCACAAGAGCGTTACAGAATCTTCTTTGACGATACTGATGAGCAACTCAGAGTCCAAGACACAGTGGCTAATAAGACATATTACAATTTGGACATCGATGTTATCGAGGAAAGGTTATCAAACGGGTTTTATTGTACTACTAAACAGTTCCTTCAAGATCTGGAGCATATACGATACGATGCAGATATAAGTGGCGACAAAGAGCGAAAGATGAAAGCTAATGAGATGCTCACGAATGCCGAGGTCTTTGTTGCCGATGTTGAAATGGATGCTGGCTTTATCTTACAATGCGAGGACATGTTCCGGCGAGAACAAAAGAAAAGGGCCGAAATTCGGGCGAAACGTGAACGGAAGGCCAAGGCATTAGAGGACGCTCGTGAAGCCGCCGAGAAGGTAGCATCATCTGCTAATCGTCCAAGTAACGGAAGTCCCGCAAAGTCCAAGGCAAATTCTCATGAGAGTCCAAGCAATGGGGGCTCTTTCAACTCAAATGGTGCCCTTGAAGATGGAACCATACCATCCTCAAATCCTGAAAACGAGTTACAAAGCCATGACCACGCAAATGTGCCCGCGACACCACACTCGCGGATGGACCCGCGTCTGGACATGGACTCGTCGTGGGTGCCCTTCCCGAGTCAACAAAGTGGGTCAAACAGGGCAGCAACGCAGTTAACTCAGATGTCCGCTGCAAGTGGAGCTTCCGTGGGATTAACTCCATTCAATAATGGTATTGGCGGTAGCGGTAGTAATATGGTACTCAACTACGCGTCGTCAACAACCTCCGGGCAGAGAACAAGTGATGGGGCACAACAGAGATCGACCAACCACTCAAACAGCAATGGCACACAAAACAGCAATAGCTTCATCAACCCAAACTTAGAGCCAGTTTTCCCAAATCCTGAACAAAACGACTCACAATTACCTGATACACAAAGTAGGTTTATCTTCCTAAAAAATATGGACCTTTTTTTTCTAATTGGGCTTTTTAGTTGTTGCCTCTTCCTCTTCAGACCTCAACAGTAGTCAGTCTCTAGCGTCACAATCAACACCCCGATTTTCTATCGAATCACAAGCAGGCAGTTTATCGCAGGGCTCGCAGTTCGGTAGTTTTACAGCACCACCAATATTTGAGCTGCCAGCACCGAAAGCCCCAAAGCTTATCCTGGATAACGAGAGGATCGATAATATACATCACCGGTTATCTGAAAGTACATCTGGGTACTCCGTTGAACAACTCGAACAAGTTAACGCTGCGATGATGGATGCCATTTGGAAATCTAGGATTCTCTGGAATAGGAATGAGGTTGCGGACAAAGCTATGGAAGCGTTTGAAGAAGTTGATAAAGACATAAGGGAGTTTCAACAAGTGATGACTGCCAGTGGAAGTTTCTAAAAGCCTTTCCCAGCACCTTACTCTGTATTTTGTTTACCCGGGTTATGCAAAATTTTTGATTTGGGATTTTTATATGGGATTTTTCTTTCTTGTGTTTCTATATCTTCATTTCGTTTACTGTACTTGGTCGTTATAACTTCTAGAGTGTGGTAGAGTTGGTTTGCGACTTCTTTTATCTTTATTCTTTTCCTTATTATTTGAAATCCCTATGCTTTCAATGCTGCTGCGGGTAGCGAATAACGAAATGAGTGGGGAGGAAACTTGTGTGCAGGACGCAGGGATCAGAGTTGGATGAAAGAATAATTTAGTAATTTTCGACACGCTCTATTTTGTTTGTACGATCACGATTTTCTATGTTTTCATACTTCAACTCCTCGGACCTTACTTTGCCTTACTTTTCTTCTTTTTATGCCCACGTTTGATGCCCTTTTCCTCTTTTCTTTCTTCTTTCTTCCCCCCTTTTTTCTTTTCTTTTTGTTGGAATCAATGGTATATGCGTTGGTGGGAGGGCCGTGCTTTCTATTATAATACCTTCACCCCATGTCTTTATTTTCAATTGAACGAATGCTTTAAGCGTTCTATCCATTTACGTGCGAGTTCGGTTCGCCGAGAAGGAAAACAAAAAAATAAAACAAAAAACTCTATTATTCTTGGCAGTATATTATTCGAGCTGTAGAAAATTACTTATCAGTATTTGTATGTATAGTTCTAGGTCATATATCACCGTACGGTGCGGTGTCGCAACGCACGATGACTTTTGACATCGCGCTGTACATATACCCACCTGTGTACGTAGGTTTATGTACACCCGCAGGAAAAAGTGACGAAACAACAAGTGACTACCAACGTGGTTAAGCAGCATCCATGACTTTTGAAGAGAGGTCATAAAAGGTGTTAAATACACTTCAGAGGCCGTAGTATGTACGCTCTTCCCCACCTTGTAGTTCAAGTACTTCTCGTCATTGGGGTTGGTGTTAAGTGCAGGCGCTATTTCATCACTTTTTTCCTGCGGGTGTACATACATACATACGCATATATTGTGCTTATGGGCAGGACCGGCTCTACCATGGCCGAAAAAATACAGAAATATGATCAGCATGAACATTGGCGGTTTTAAATATCCCATGGCGACTGCTGGTGCAAGGACTTTTGCCGAAATTATGAGCGAGTAGGAGTCTACACACACGCGGTAGTTGGGTTTACTATTGTAAATTTAGGTCATCATGGGGCCGGGACAGGTTTCTGCAAGGGTTGTTAAAGCAAACTACTAGCCTATGGTATCATTTAAGGCTCCAACTGTTGCTCATGTTGCGGTTTCGGTAATGTCTTGTCTCATGTTAAGTGGGTCAATGAGTTAATAACAACATTATGTTGAGTGGGCCCATGGGCCGCTTCGAGTGATATTCTGTGCTGTGGCTCTTTCATAATGAGCCACCACTGCCACACGCTGCAACCTAACCCCAAGCCAAAACAGAGCTTCCCCCACCATCATCTATCACCATAGTTCCAAACTCGCAACAGATACAGCTATGGCTTCAAGTACCATCCACGCATTTTTCGCCCAGCGAAGAGCCGACAACTCCCTCGTCGTTCTCGGTTTGTACTAGCTGTTCTTGAATGTTGCACGGGCTTTAATAAAAAAAACTAACCGACCTGTTTCAACCCCGCCAGATCCTCCAAAGTTCGACCTCGAAAGCTACATCTCAAACTATACCGGCACGGCGTTTGTTCACCTCATACCTGTGGGCTGAAACTAACATCTCTTGTACTGTAGGGCGAACCCAGATCGAGAGACTCCTTCATATTGGACTACATTCACCACCGCTATGCATCGAAGCTCTGAAACTGGCCGTCAAGGCGCTGAAGCAGACGTCGGATGTGCCACGATATAAGCTCGTAGTCGAGCAGCTCAATAAGCTAGCCCCCGATGACCCGGAAGCCGTGATGGATGAGGAATGGGTCGAGAAGACAAGCAGACGGGTTGCCAACAGTACCGAGAAGATTGAAGCAGACTTGAAGAGCTATAAGCACAACCTTATCAAAGAGAGCATCAGAGTAAGCTCCATTGACCCAGTTGGGAAAGAAAAAAAAACCGGTAGGATGACGGCTAACCCATCTTGCACGGCGTAGATGGGCCACGAGGATCTCGGCAATCACTACTATGCTTCCGGGGATCTTGTCAACGCATTCAAGTCATACTCCCGTATGCGTGACTTTTGCACAGCGCCTAAACACATCCTCGATATGTCCCTCCAGATCATCCGCGTCTGCATTGAACAGGGAAATTACATGTCTGTCCAGTCGCACATTGTGAAGATCCGCAGTCTTTCCCGCTCCCCCGAGGAGGAGGAGATATTGAAGCCGAAGCTGTGCGTCGCTATGGGCCTCACGCAGCTTGCCTCGGGAGCTTTCAAAGAGGCAGCAAAGAGCTTTCTGGAGACTCCACCGACCCTTGGAGCAACATATAATGATGTCATCTCTTCCAATGACGTTGCGGTCTACGGAGGGCTCTGTGCGCTTGCCAGCATGGAGAGGTCGCAGCTCAAGAAGGAGGTTCTCGATAACAACGACTTCCGGAACTTCTTGGAGTTAGAGCCGCAGATGAGGAGGGCCATCTCGTACTTTTATACGGCGAAATACTCGAATTGCTTGAAGATTCTCGAGGAGTACCGGAATGATTATTACCTCGACGTGCATTTGGTGAAGCATGTGAATAAGCTGTTTGAGATGATTAGAAGCAAGGGGATCGTGCAGTACTTTATCCCGTTTTCGTGTGTGTCGTTGAAGAGTATGGCGGAGGCATTTGCGACGAATGAGAAGACGCTTGAGAAGGAGCTCGTGGGGATGATTGGGAAGGGGGTCTTGAACGCGAGAATAGATACAAAGAATAGGGTATGCTTCTTCTATACGGCTACTTTGCTAAAGAGGTTCCCAATCTCGTTATTTGGGGTGTGGTTAGGCTTACAATGTTTAAAATTCTAGCTTCTCACCGCAAAGGAAACCAACCTCCGCACAGCAGTCCACCGGGATACTCTAGCGATGGCGCAAAACTACGAGCGCACCGCCAGAATGAGGCTGATGAGGATGAACATTCTCCGTGCAGGTCTGGAGGTCCGGGGCCCCAAGGGGGGACAAGGCCATCCTTCGGGACCTGCCCAGGGCCAGGGATGGGTTGGCCATTCCGGGAGGCCTCAGGGGTTTATGGAGAGGTTCCACATGGGTTCTTGAGCGGATGATTCACAAATATTCACTTATATCTCCTTCCTTTTCTTTTTTTGTCGGGTGTTGTTGTTATTCGTGATGGCAAGGACCAGAGGGTTGAAAGTCATTCGTTTTCATTTGAGAGTAGAATTCTTAAAATTAAAAACAAGAATCGGGGATATTACTGCATGATTGTTATATGTAGTTAGCTACATGTAATCGTTAGGCAGGGAAAGGCTATGAATTCGGGCATCTCAATGAATAGAATAATCGGGTAAAGCGGGGTTCTGGATCATGAGTGGCCACAGCGCGCCAAAGCTGTTTGTGGTGGTGGTGATGCGATGGGCTGGCTGTATGTAGTAACGACGGGCGTCTTGGGCATCCTCACAGCTGCGAATCATAAACACTGTTCATGCTTGTATTCCGGTAGAGTGATATCACTGTAGATAGTAGCTTCCATGCACAACCCCAGCTGGGGGAGGATGTAGGGAGCCGTTAGCTAGCGTGTAGTTACAGTTATGTGTACAATTGAGGTTGAGGATGTTGTGGCAAAGACATAGTAGCAGCATGGCGTGGTGCTGAGGCAAGAGTATTTAATTACCTCCACACTATTACCATCACGAAACGAAGCCAGCCACTTAGACACCCAGTCCCAAGCAATGTATTATATCCAGCTCCAGCTACTTGATGCCAATGGTCTTCTCTGAACTGTTTCTGTAGTTGTTGTCTTGGCGGCCGAGTGATCGGGCTTGAAGCAACGATTTCGTTTGAGTTTGCACTCGAGGTATTTCTACATGTATCCTGGGATATAGATATATCCATTACTTGCCGTACGAGCCGAGCCAATTCAAGTCACTAGAGGCCATGGGATACAATTGCGGTGCACTTACCTCTTTCCGCACGAAATAAGGTTGTTTGTTACGCTCTTATGCGGAGGAGATCATGGGATATAACTCGAGAGCCAGCGAGCCAGGGATTGTTTATGCAGGGCGCACCGGCCTCTTTTCCACTTTCTGCATATCTATCGATAAGCTACATACTAGGATTGCATCAGCCCAGCCAGCGCAATCCTATATAAATGACGCCTATCCCAAAACCATGAACCCAGACCTCTAGATATCTCACTCTAAACTAATAACATCAGCACAACACAATGCCGCCGCCCCCGACGCTCCCAACCCTCCCCCACGACCTCCTCCGCCTACTCACCACCCACCTGCCCACCGCCTCCTCCCTCGCCGCGCTCTCGCTCACCTGCCGGTCCCTGCACGCCTTCGTCTCGCTCGAGGGCTGGCGTGTCTTTGTGCGCACGCGTTTCCCGGCGTTTCCTGCCGCGGCGGGCACACCCGCTGAATGGCGGGCGTGGGCAAGGCAGCAGACGATTGTTGAGCGCAACTGGCAGCGGCGCGGGTTTGTGGCGGCTGTGGTGGAAGTGCGGTTATCCAGCGGCAGCGGTGGTGGTGGTTGGCGGCGTGATGGCAGAGGCGGCGGTGGTGGTGGTGGTGCTGGAGGGAGAGATGGTAAATGGGCGCCGAAAGGACGGCAGACGCTCGGCTACGTGCCGGTGCTTGATCTGTCCGAAGCGTATGGCGGCGCGGGCGGTGAAGAGGAGACGTTAGTTATTGGTGCAGGGCCTGACATTGTTGTGCGGCGGCGAAGCGCGGGGAAGCACACGGTGCGGTGGTGGGGGTTTGAAGACCGGAAAGAGCAGGCGGGGCGGGACGACGTGACGGCGTTGCGGCTGCTGGAGGGCGGTGGCGGTGGCGGTGGCGGTGGCGGGGAGGTGGCGGTGGTGGGGAGGGCGAATGGACGGTTGGAGGTTGTGGGGCTGGGCACGGCGGGGAGAGAGCCGGGCGGTGTGGGCAGGGCAGAGGTGTTGACGCGGTACGAGACGGGCGGAAGGCAGGTGAAGGATGTGGCTGTTCTCGGTGGCGGCGGCGGTGGGGGTGAGTCGGCGACGGGGCTTGTGTGTGCTGTTCTCGGCTCTTCCAGCGTGTCGCTGTATCCGCTGCACCAGCCAGAGGAGGCGGCGAATGGCGGCCCTGTGGAGGCGGTGTCGAGCATCGCGTTGGCCGACGTCGGCGGCGGCATCCCGTGGAAGACGTCGTTCCTTTCGCCGGCGCTCGTGGCGCTTGGAACGACGGGCGCGCAGCCGCTATCGGTGTTTGCGCTTGCGCGCGAGGGCTTCCGGAGGGACCCTGTGCGCACGTTCTCGGCGTCGCAGTGCGCGGACGTCGAGGCGCTCGGCGTGTATGCGCTTGCGCCCATCTCGGGGAGCGGGAATGTGCTTCTGGCGGGGTGGTATGATGGCGTTTCACGGTTTGCAGTCCCGAGTTTTTTTTGTTCCTTTCCTCCTTCTTTTTACTTCTCCATACTCTAGCCCCGCATGCATAATAAATAGGGGTAATAATAATAATAATAATAATGAATAATAATAAAAGACTCCACGACCTCCGCACCCCCGCCCCCTCTGTGGCAGAATACAAAGACCCCATCGACGCCCAGACACCCATCTACGCCCTGCACCCCCTGGGCCACACCCGCTTCCTCGCCGGCGGCGCCCGCCACTGCATCCTCAAGGTCTTTGATCTGCGCATGTCCACCACCACCACCTCCTCCCCCGGGTGGGCAACATATCTTACGCCGCCAGCGCGCTACCGCGCACACGGCGGCATGGGCGGTGGGGCCGCGGCGTGGGAGAGCCCGCTGTATTCGCTGGCGGTGGCGGCGGGGGGGAGGAGCGTGTATGCGGGGGCGCAGGGGAGGGTGTGGGAGCTGGATTTCTTGGGTGCTGGTGTTGGTGCTGGTGCTGGTGTGGGTGGTGGGGGGCAGAGGAGGGATGTGGGGACGCGGTTGGGCATGTATGAGTTTGGCGGGAAGGGGGTGGTGTATCGCCAGGGGCCTGAGACGGAGATGGGCAGGACGGGGGCGGAGGGGGGGAGGCTGGATGGGAGGTGGACGGCGGTGAATAGATGAGAGCTAGCTGTAGACTAGACTACAATATAGAAGGTGTGCGTGTGTGAGGGCTCTGGGCGTGTGTGTAGCTTGAGGGATTGGATTTTTTATGTGCTTCTCCTTTTGCGTTTAGATGCTATAGCTCTTTTGGCATTTAGATAGAGTAGATCTTGTCCTAGAGGTGGGCTGTGTCTCGTTCTGGCTGGGCTCAAGCTCGAGAATGCCAAGATATATAGGCGAGTGATATCTCATGACGATGTGCCGAAGCTCACCTTCACCTAGCCCTGTGGATTGGCCTGTGGATGCGGCATAAGCTGATTTTTTTATATTTTTATATTTTTAATCTGTGAGGAATTGTGCATTCGGGTACAGCCGTCTCTACTCTAATGCTTCCTGTTTGTAGGGTAGTATACTGGAAGGGCGGGTGTGTCACGGTAGAACTGGATGGAGTGCTGAACAATAACTAGGCGGGATGGAGCAGGAAATAAGTACCACGCCATACGAGCAGCAAACCGGCAACACACGCAGAGTCCCAGATATCCTTCATATAGAGTAGTATTCACAAAGCTTAAACACACACACACATCCACAAACCCCACCCCACCCTACACTGCCCTACCCTACCATACACTGCACTATATATCTACATACATCGCCCCCCCCCCTCCCCCACTACGACGAAAACTCCAAAACGACAATACTCGCCTTCGGCACCTCCCACGCCCACTCGCTCGCGCCCGCCTCGACCTCATCGAGCTCTAGCGCCCGCGGCGAGATGGCCGTCTGGTTGGTGATGTAGTTGAAGCCGTTGCGCACGTCGTGCGTCAGGATTGTGCCGTTGACGCCTGTGATGGCACGGTCGAACTCGAGCGTTAGGGGTACGGCGGAGTTGGCGGCGTTGACGAGCTGTTGTGTTTGTGTGTGTTAGCTTTTGTTGTAGTGGGGAAAAGGAGTGGGGAAGAGGCGAGGGGGAGAAGGGTAGAAGGGTAGAAGGGGAGAATGGTAGAAGGGGAGAGTTACCTTGACGTATATCACGTCTCGCCCGCCGTCATGTTGCGCGGCCCACCAGAGGGGGTTGAAGGTTCCGGAGAGGGGCGTGATGGGGAGGGTTTCGGTGCCGCGGTGGTGCGAGAAGAGCTTTTGTTGGTAGTAGCTGGCGGAGAGGGTGGTTTGGTTGGGGTCGGCGGAGAAGCTGATGAGGTCGGGCTGTGGAGGAGTGTTAGAAAAAAGACCAGTTTGGAGGGGAAGGGGTTGGGAGGGGGGGATGTGTACCGTCCATTGGTAGGAGTTGTAGTTCTGGAACAGCGGTGCGTAGGAGGAGAGTTTGACGGTGTTGGGGTTGCGCTCCATGCCGATGCCGAAAATCTGGGATAAGCTGTGCGTTAGCTCCAGGTTGGAATGCTAGGTCGAGTACAAGTATCACTTACGGCTTCGCCGATGGCGGCATCGAGGGTGGGGTAGACGATTCGCCCGGGGCCGGACCATTGTACGCTGCCGGAGGAGCTGTCGACTGAGAGGACAGAGTATTCGCCGACGACTGCAGAAGAGAGAGAGAGGGTTAGTTATCTTGGAGGTGATGTGAAAGGGAGTATATCAGAACTTACATATCGTTACGTTCTGGTACGAGCTGACGCCAAAGTTATCGTAGAGGCCGAACTGTAGTATGCGAGTTAGGAGTCTCCCATAAATATCTCAGGGTACAGCTAGATACTTACGTTGTTTTTATAAAACTGCGGCGTCTGGTAATAATGTGGATCCCCTAACGTACGAAAAACCAAATATCAGCAGGCTATACTCAGATATATTCATCACGAAATGGCCCCAACTTACACATCTCCCCCGCCGGGATCTCCATCTTCGGCGTGATATCCGGGCCCGCCGTAGCAATGAACGTGATATCCGGATACTTTGCCTTAAGCTGCTCATAGTACATTGGGAATCTCCAATTATAGCTCCCTCCCGAGAACTGGTCCTCATTGCCAATCTCGACCAGCTCCAACTTATAAGGCTCAGCGCGTCCATGCGATGCCCGCAATGCACCCATGGGCGTGCGGGCGTCGCCGAGGATGTACTCGAGCTCGTCGAGCACCTCGTCGATGAAGGGCTGGATGTGCTCGCGGGGCACCGTAGAGGCAGGATTACGCCCATTGGGTGCGAGAGTGTAGCCGGCGTAGACAGTGAGGAGGGGCTGCATCTCCATGTCTTCGCAGAAGTCAAAGTACTCGAGTAGGCCGAGACTAAAGGTTCTCTACTATCAGTAACTGCAGCACTGCCAAGGACATTTCTGTTTTGTTTTTCTTGCTCACCCATTGGTGTTGAAGTACTCCCACTGTCCGACACGGCCCTTACGGTAGCGTAGGTCGCCGATTGTCTCGTTCCACTTCCAGCGGGTTTGGATTGAGAAGCCCTGTTACAAGCCATATCAGTATCACGCCTTGAGGACTCCCAAAAGAAAGAACGGCGAGAAAACCAACCTCCAAGTTATTTCCCCCCGGGAACCTCAAAAACTTAGGATCCAGCCCCTTCAGCGCCTCCGCCAGATCCTTCCTGATGCCATTCGGCCGATCCTTAAACGTCGGCGGGAACAGCGAGACCAGCGAGAAGTAGAACGTCTGCCCCTTGACCTCGGCCGCATCCATGGTGATCGCAAACGAGTTATTGATACTCGGCGCTGCGACCTCCGGCGCCAGCGTGGCCTCCAGCTTGGTGTAGTCGAACGTATCCAGCTTGCCCGTGATAGGGATCTCAGTGGTGGTCCATACATCGTCTGTGAGGTTGGAGCGCAGCGAGAGCTTGAAGGCGCTGAGGGCACCGCTGTAGTACTGCTCCCAGGGCTTGACGTAGAAAGAGGCAGCGTACTTTTGCGGACGTACGTCCATGCCCCAGTAGCCTGTGGGTTGGTCAGTATCACTTAATTCAGCTATGAGTGTATGTAGTTTACCTTCATTCATGAACCCGACTTCGCCGGTGGCACTGCTCCCCACATCTACCCTCAGGACAGCCGGTAGTGCGTCTGAAAGGGGGTTCAGCAGATCAATGGAGAGCCTGACATCTCCAATTGCACGCCATGCGTCTAGGTTTGGGCCGTAAGGGATATCTGCTTCCTGTGTACCATATGGATACGGGGTTGACCCGCTGTTGAGGAGCTTCACCCCAGAGCCTACATTACATCTCGCCGTATTAACAGACAAGCACTTTGACTACGAGTGCTAAACACAGGTTGTATGATCATGCCTTGGAAAGCCCTGTTGCGGATCAACTCGGCGTAGATTCCACCATCACCAGAGTGCTTTTGTACGCGTTAGAGCAATGTAGCTGCAATCGATGGGGGAGCAAGCTCACATTGATATCCTCAAAGAACAGCCCATACAGGTTCGGCGCGGTCTTGTTCCTGGCTGCTGTGTCTTCGGTGTTGATCTTGAGATGGACAGGCGTCACGGTCTGGCCCAATGCCGGCGCAGCGATGAGTGCGAGCAGCGCAGCCAATTGATGCAAGTACATATTTTCAATTGCGTCTTGTTTGACGAGGCACGACTCTCTCTCTCTCTCTCTCTCTCTCGCTCTACTCAAGTGCATCCGCTCCTTTTTAAACCTTAATTTCTGGGGCCATTTTTATTTTGCGGGGTAGAGTACATAGCTGTGGGGAGAGCTCGAGAGGAAGCGCGGATAAATCTACAAGTAGAGTACCAAGGCCGTGGAGTTACAGCTGAAATCCGGCTGATCATGGCCGGACCAAGGGGCGGATTAGTAGGAGGAGGAAGAGGTGGAGCATTGGAAAACTCTATATCAATTCAGATGCCTGCTGTGACGTACGTTCCTGTGCGGTGGAGATCTTTTTGCTTGTCCCGGTACGGCGTGGGCTTTAAGGTACCTGGATGTGTAGGGTACCTATAGTGCCACATTTAGGTGATAGGTATAAAGATACTATAGCTGTGTACCTGCCGAAGCAGAGGATGTATGTAGATCCTGTCAGGGCAGGGTTTGGGTATTAGCCATGGCCTATAACCGGGCGCGCTCGCTTTAGTAGGGGCCGATTCGGGGCGAATTTTTGCGTGTTACGAGGTGGGTAGATGGCTGGCCTCGTGCAATGTACGGTTTATGGAGTGGGTAGAGTAGGATGAGTATAGGTGCTCTGGAGGATTAGGTGGAAGATGCACGATAGGAGATGAGATAGTGGGGTCTTGCTTGTCGGCTTTCGTGGTTGAGTGGGTGTCTGTCCGTCTATTCTCGTGAGTGGTTGGCCCGGTCTTGGAAATTTATTAGTCGAAAATGGATTTAGCTATTTTGTTTATAGAGTTACTGGTTAATTTATGATTTAGGAAGTTAATGTTATCAGTCTTGATGGTCGCTTTCTGGGTTCTTGATAGTAAGTGGTGTGTCGATAGTAACTTTATGTAAATTTATGTAGTGCACATGGAGTACGTATGTTCTGAAGTAATAATAAGACTGAAACTTGATGCGGAGACTAGGTAGTCCGAGTGATATTTCAAGATTGCGTTGTACTAGTAAAAAGCAGTGTAGCACAAGGCTGTCGTGGCAGAGGCCTCACATCGCGTTCAGAGCTACATGACATTGTATATACACACGCGCGTAGCTACCCCGCTACCTGCTAGAAGTCCTCCTAACTCTATCACCGAAAATCAAGTCGCCTAAATCAGATTTCGACGATCCAACAAATATCGACTAGTCATGGTAAGTACTGATCAAACATAATTGAAATTTCAAAAGAATGTGTAACTAACTGAATATATGGAAAATCTAGGCTAAGCGTAGGAATAGCTCCGCCCATACCCCTACGTTTCTCCGAGAACTCTATCACCCCCCGGGCACAGAACCTACGGTCGAGTCAGATAACTTTCCCCCATTCAAAAATTCATGTATTTAATCTTCCGCTAATTATATGTACTTGGTTTGTAGTATCGTTTTTGTCCATGGACTTAATCCTCTTAACACCCAAGATTTTGCCGAGAAAACATGAACCCATGCAAATGGAACCCTATGGCCCAGAGATATATTGCCTGAGAACGTCCCAGACTGTCGTATTCTACTCTTCGGTTATAACTCGAACGTCGCATTCGATGTCTCTAACCAAGGCATCAAAGATCATGCCAACACCCTCTTGGACAGGCTCTGCAGGAATCGAAAGGTGACAGAGGTAAATTCGCCCGTGATCTATAGAGCGCTATAGGAAGAAATAGCCCCTAGAAAAAGGGGGCCAAAGAGATTTTCTTTTGGCCAAATTCGCTGAATATCGATAGGAATCGAAGGTTCGACCTATTATCTTTGTTGGGCACAGTCTCGGCGGTTTAGTAGTAAAGCAGGTTTGGCACCACTCAGGTAGATGTATAACTAGATGTACCGTATGGATATACTAAGATTTAGGCACTGATTAACGCAACAAACAACTATGAGGAGTATGGGGTTATCAAAGAAGCTACTCGAGGTCTGGTTTTCTTTGGTACGCCTCATAGAGGCGGAAACGGGGCCTCACTAGGCCAGATCGCTGCCAATATCATTACAGCCGTTTCTGGGGCAGATCAAAATGAAATACTCAGATCTTTAAGTAAAGACTCTATTCTTACGAAAAACTCTAATGACGATTTTAGACATTAGTCTGAAAGATATCGTGTTTTAACTTGTTACGAAACGAGGAAGACAAAGGTCAATAGATGGCTTGGCGGTATTTTTGGTTGTGTTTTCAATGCGGTAATGACCTTATGATCTGAGAGAAATTATGGCTACTAAGTAATTATAATATTGTAGATAGTAGTAGACGCAGATTCTGCAAAACTTGGGTTAGCGGGCTCTCGCGAGCACCAACTACCGATAGATGCGGACCACTCTGGAATATGTCAATTTGAATCTGCAGAAGATGATAGATACGAACCTGTTGGCGGCGGAATTGGGGAGCTGGTAGAGCGTATAATTAAAGACAAGACAGAGCCGGAAGAGTCTGTACTACCTAGGGATAGCAGAGTTGCTGCCGGTACGTAAATTCTTCAAAAACCGGACCCACCATACATTTGATATTAGCATACCTTGCTAAGTTTGACGAAAGTTAAAACGCTACTCCCAAGCAGCGAATTGAGTGTGGAAAGGTCTCCGAATTTTTCTGGAAGGGAGTACGAAATAAACCGCATACACGAACATCTCACAACTTTGTCGTCGTCGCCTCGGCCATCCCGGAGAGTGGTCGTACTCCACGGCCTTGGGGGAATTGGAAAAACTGAGATTGCTCTTGCTTATGCTTTCAAGTACCGCCATGAGTACACTGCAGTCTTCTGGATTGATGCTACTAATATCCAAACCGCAACGCTTGGGCTGTTTCAAATAGTCCAAGGTCTCATTAATGCCAATCTTACCGATGAGCATCTTGCGATTGATTGTGCAACGATTGCACAACGTCTAGGCCTATTGGGTCTCATACAGAAGAATGGGCTCTTGAATAGCAATTTGGGCGAATCCCATAAAGAACGCGTTATCAAAGCAGCAAAGAGGCTGCTCGAGATGGAGGAAAACAGGAATGTTCTTATTATGATAACTACGATGATATCGAATCCTATGATCTTTTCCCCGGATTTTCCCCCAATACAGGGAACATTCTAATCACGAGCCGGAGAAAAGAAGCTGTCTATCCTCACGGGATGGCCATAGAGGTAGAAGGAATTGAAGAGGAAGACGGTATTAAACTTCTTTTTAAGTACCTCACACCTGGGGCTCTCCGGGTCATGGCCACGTATGTATTCACATTCTGATTTTAAATGGAAATTCTCTTACTGTTGATAGAGGATTTTGAGGGTATTGAAGAAGAAGTGAGGGAGATCGTCAATCTCCTTGGAAGGGTACCTCTAGCAATCGATTTTGTAGGGGCTTATATCTTTCGTACGCAAGTGAACCCTCGCAAATTTCTCGTAACTTTGAACGAACACAGAAGCAAAATTCTTCGAGATATTCCTCGAGATGCACTTCCACGGTATGGAAAAATGTATATACATCGTGGGACACGTCTTTTAACGACCTAAAAGATAAAAATCCCGATGCTATTAAACTACTTCTTTTCTGCACCTTTATGCACCACGGCGAAATATCCCTAGAGTTCCTTAGACGTGGATGCAGAAAATTCTCATCGATAAAAGGCGAAGAAGCACCTCCACTTCTCTTATTCTTTGGCACGAGCAAAACCTTTTAAACACTCGCGAGATGATCTTAAGAAAGACGACATCGTTTTTTCAATCCACCCTCTGGTTTATTCCTGGGCTTTTGAGAAATTGGGAGATAAAGACAAAGAACAGTATTTTATCTCGGGTGTTCTACTTTTAGACTCCGCGCTTCTGCTGCCAGATACGGCTGAGAGTATAATAGCAAAACGGAACGCTCTGCCACATCTAGAAACCTGTTTTCAAAACTTCAGCCATATAATGACAGCGCGGCAGGCTTGTGCTCACAACGGAGTGTTTAGATCGTTTGTGAATTTTGGGAGTATTTTTTGTCAGCATGGGGAGTACTCCAAAGCGCAAAAATTGGTTGAATACGCTCTTGATAGGCGGGAGAAAGTGCTCGGTCCAGACCACGGGGAAACACTGGTAACGGTAACGGTAAATTCGCTGGGAATTCTATACACCAGACAAGGGCAGGAGCGATATCCCGAGGCCGAAAAGTTGTACGAGCGAGTTCGTGCCGTGCAGGAGAAAGTACTCGGTCCGGACCATAGTGATACACTGAGAACGGTAAACAACCTGGCAAATCTATACACCAGACAAGGGCAGGAGCGATATCCCGAGGCGGAAAAGTTGCACAGGCGGGCTCTTGCTCGGTATGTGAGGGTGCCCGGCCCGCACCATATAATTACACTAGGAACGGTATATTGCCTGGCAATAATATACTATAAGCAAGGGCAGGAGCAATACCCAAATGCGGAAAAATTGTACAATTGGGCTCTTACTGGGTATGAGAAGGTGCTCGGCCCGAACCATAGTGATACATTGGCAGCGGTAAATGGCCTGGCAACTCTATACTCCAGACAAGAGAAGAAGTATTCTGAGGCGGAAAAGTTGTACCAGCGGGCTCTTGCTGGGTGGGAGAAGACGCTCGGCCCGGACCATGGTGAAACACTGAGAGCGGTGGGAAACTTGGCAATATTTTACTCCAAACAAGGATGGGGCCGATATCCCGAGGCGGAAAGGTTGTACAAGCGGGCTCTTGCTGGGCAGCAGAAAGTACTCGGTCCAGACCATAGGGAAACACTGAGAGCGGTAAATGGCCTGGCAACTCTATACTACAAACAAGGGCAGAATCGATATCCCCAGGCGGAAGGGTTGTACCAGCGGGCTCTTGTTGGGTGGTTGAAGGTGCTCGGTCCGGACCATAGTGATACACTGGCAGCGGCAAGTTGCCTGGCAACTCTATACTCCACACAAGAGAAGAAGTATCCTGAGGCGGAAAAGTTGTACAAGCAGGCTCTTTCTGGGTATGTGAGGGTACTCGGTCCGAATCATAGGGAAACACTGAGAACGGTGGGGTGCCTGGCAACTCTATACGACTCCCAAGGAAGACATCCCGACGCAAATTGCCTCCGGTCCGAGTTTAGATTAACATTACCCTATGATACAAAGATTTTGGTGGCATTTTAGTCTTTTAAATGTGGTGTAATTTCAACGGCACCTCTCAGTAAGTATCTCCCGAGTCCTACTATCATATATAGTCAGTCAACTACTCCACCACATGAGCAAGGACCACTAACAGCCAGCGCAGTCCAGGTAAATACAGACCTATCCATATCAGTAATATAGAGCGGGCGTTCGTTGGAGCCCAGGACACCCTAGTAGTGCGGCTTTTATATATGTATTTTCATTTCCTTCATGTCTTATTCGATATGTCTCGTATATTATGGGCACGTACACGGTTGTGAGGTGTCAAATAACCTCTTGATGTCTCAGCGATTGCATTATAGTTTATTGGTTATGGCGTAATGTCTTTTCTTTTGTGGATATTTTGGCTCGTTTTCAATATTAAGTTGTATCGATCATTGGCACGAGGTTGTCTTGGGAGCGCGGCAAGCTTGATATACATGTCTGGCTAGTCCTGAACAGTAAACAACAGAGACCCCGTAAAGGCACACAAAGTTTTAGAGCTTACCTCCCTCAACTTTGACCCCGCCCCCCCCCAAAAAAAAAAATCTTCATATCACAGCAATATTAAAAAAGTCTAAGAGCTGGTGGTCCAGCTTGATACGCTACAAAAGCTCTGAGACCGATTTGAACGATCGACCCTGCGATCTGCAATCGCATGCTCTAACCCCTGAGCTACCAGAGCTTCTGAATGGGGTACAATTACATTCACTGATTGAAGGATGTAAGGGCTTGATTACCTACTCGGCCCTTGTAGCATTTAGCGGTCTTGGCTTCCCCACCGTTGGATCTTGGCGCTTGGGTTCGCAGTGATGATAATTAGCATCACTGGATATCACTCGATATGGCGCCACCATTGGACTCACCGTTAGGAAGCGCGCGCGGAAAGAGCGGGTGATACACATTCATAGATAGAGAAACCTGAATAGGTTTCAGAACCCACGCTGTTGGTAGGGAGATCATCGGTACACGTATACACCAGAGTTTAGTTATGCCTTGACCTGGTAAAATAAGGACATGAGGTATACTAAGTACAGTGTAGCTAATCAACTGCGTGTTTGTGCACGTGGTCAGTGAACTGTGAACCCTCCTTCTACTCCCCAATCAATAGTGATGGGTATAGCAGGGCGGCCAGCCGGTATATAGCTGTGTTTCCTTAAGTATATTGCAGTCAGCTGGCAATTTCGCAATTCTGGGCGCAATGGGGTGACCACGACGTGGAAGAACCATCGGATCGAGGGGAGCTATTGTTTCTTTGATTGTTTTCCGGATTCCATAGCCTGGAAGAACTAGTTGATCCGTATATATGTATAAGAGGCGATGGTGAATTACCGGCGATATATATATAAGCTGTAGCTTTGTAGGAAGATGACCATATCACCTAAGAGCGACTGAAGTCTACATGTAATTAACCAACTGTGACTGGTGGATTTCTTTGTAAAATATAGTCAATTGATCAAGATTTCTCCCACTTTCTCGTAAAGTTCGGACAGCTGAATTCGTCCCCGCAGGCCCCTAGATTGCAAACTCACCTGCTCTGGAATCAACAGCTTGACCAACCTGGCACAGATAGAGATGATTTGTACTGTATTCTCTACATAGCCATTGCATGTTATCAACCCGCTCTAAAGACCCAGTATAATGTGTGGAGTCCACGAGAGAAGCTCCTTGTACTGTCTGACGGTTGAGAATTAGCTTCGTTTCTCTGTGCTCACACCTTGAGCTGGAGCTGCCGTTTCTTTTCTCTTCCTTTTTCCCTTCCTTCTCCCCCGTTTTTTCTAGGGTACGATATGGAGAAGGAAGACGGGTATACGCTACATAGATACATAGAGTATTGCGACCCGCGGCGCCAGAAGGAAGAATATCACGGGGCGTGTCGTAGCCGTGGGGGAAGCTGACCTGGTTGCATTGTTAAACGGGAAGGGAGAGCTTCGTTCTGTCTTCCAGAAATCCGATATTGCCATGGGAAATGTCCCTATCTTTCTGGCTGTCTTCCTCCTCCGATACTTCCCCTTGTCGACTCCTATCATCGCCAGTTCAGATGCGTGTCGTGTCTACCGAACAGGGTAGAGCCCTGTCTAGGTATCGGGATTCCGTGTATCTAATTATACCGTACCCGATATTTTGCCTCGACCCCGATCACGGAAATGTGCGCCTACACGGCCCAGGCCACTGCGCAATATCATGGAGGCGCTCATGCAAAGCCGCGCAGAAAAGAGCGGATGCTCTGGTGCCGGTGCCGGTGCCGGGAATTTGAATCGGGATTTGCTTTTAGTAGTTATACGTTACGGCCTCTACCGCAGTAGCTGCCGGCTCTCGTGATTGGTAGATCCGGCTGGGATGCTGGGTCGGGAGCTATTGTGTCGTATTTATGCCGTCCGCACGGGCGTATCTATATATAGCGTGTAATTCATGTTTTCTAGTCTCGATACTATTTAACGTATTCGACGGTGGGTATGTACTGAATTCAAAAACACGTAAATACGAAGCTCAAAGCCAGACACCGCTAAATATGATGTGGTGTTGGAATCTATACATAAATACACACTAGTGGCCGCCTGGGATACGGAATATGAGTGGGGTAACGATCAACTTCAAGTTATTGGAATTCACAGCTCGAGCAGTAGTGGGGAGCTTAAGCCTGAAGGTACGGGACTGGAATTCTTCATATATATATGTATTAGTATGTATTATATATATCGGTCTAAGTGTGTTTTGGTGGACTACAATATTATGTGGCTATGGAGGTACATGATGTGCTTGATAAACACGCCTACAAGACGTTCTTTAGCTAGTTAGCTTGGCCACCGTTGCTTCAATTAGGGAAACTAAGTGAAATGCCTTTTATGAGCGGCCGGCATGAGTGATTGGTATATTACAATATATTTCTCTCGCCACGACACTACAGGGCTCGCCGCACCTCCCACTTACAAAGCAAAAGACCTAATCTTTATCAATCAAGGCTAGCCTATTTCGTCATGTGCCCGTCAGTAGGCTAAGTTACGAGCAATATCGAGCAACTGGTGTAGCAATATAATCCATAATTAAAGTTTACCAAAGGATATTCTCCACCGCCTGCTGAGCCTAGCTAGGAATCGAATTTTGCCAGACATGAAGCCTAGCCAGGTCGAGCGGAGCAGTAGAGTACCGTACACATATCGGCGGGACACACCTGCGAGTCGGCCGGCACGGCATGTCCGTACGTAGAGTAGTACCAACCAGCCGTTGTTGGAGGCAATATATATAACCCCGCTATATATGATTTTACTTCTCATGGGGGGGGCCGCATCCTTGGATAATCTGTACAGGTTAGTGTTAGCGATCCGATTGACTTTAAGCTCAAGATATATATTCGGTGCCATCCATGCAATATGGCCAGTATTGATTAGGCAATATCAGATACGGGTTTGTTATGTTGTGGTACGTCCCTATATGGGATTCTGCCGGTTGCTTATCCCCCCAAAGAGTGCGTGAGGAATCAATTAATCGTAAACGGATAAGAGCAGCTGATCATATCATGTCAGACCCGGATCCGAATTGTGTGTAAATACATGTACTTAATGGATGGAGTAGAGTAGACTCAGTAGAGTACCTCTGTACCGATATGCGATATGTGGAAGAAAGTACGGTGGCCCCCACTTAGAGAAGAAGGTTTGTTACACGGCTGTGGGTTTGCGGGTGGGGATGGTGCATGATGATTACTGATTTCCGGTTGGAAGCCGCGGTGTAAAGAGTGTTTAGAGCGATGTAGGTATGCTTCCATCCCATCTCATCTCATGTCAAGATGTAGGTACTTCATACCGGGAAGCCGTATATTCCCCGAGCCGACTCTTGAGTGTTTGCGCCTAGCTACTTGGTTCACACACCCTGGGATCTGCATTTCTAGAAAGCCACCTCGCCTGCTCTCTGCCCAAACACAGAAAGGTTACTTCAAACACAGCAATCCCCATCAATCTCATGGCTAATTACAACAGCATGGTGGAGGTTTCTCCAGCCAGAGTATCCTGACTCAGACTTGCTCAGTCAGCTGGCTACATATGCACAGATTTAGTTCCCGTATCCTGTAGAGTAAGTACATGTATGTAGGTACATACATTACCTCTCTCTTCCAGATATAGGCGTGGTCGTATTCGGCAGGCTACATAGACACCTCCTGATATCTCGCCTATTCTACTTTCTGCGTGGTGATGGTGGTACAACAATTGCAATACCCTCTCTGTTTAAGCTTCTTTTGTTTTCTGACAGCCGGCGAGGACTCCCGCAGCTCAGGGTCTGTGCAACGTAGGCACTCTAGGAGCTAGGGACCAATTGTTCGCAGCATGGTATGGGGACTACTTAGATGTTGACAGAGACTCGGACTGACGGGGAGTCCGTACAAGACTTCTTTAGTTGGTTGGACACTCCCGTCTAGGCGTCTGTTAGGGATTGTCCCTGTTGCTGGTCTAGCCTGTTGTTGCTGAGGCGACAGGCCGTTAACGCAACGTGGGGCGGGAGATGATCAACAGAAGATGTATCGAAGCACATGTCGTAAGCATCAAGTATTGGGGAGAATTGCACTTGGGAATCATCTGTGACAGCATGAAAGGAGTCGACTGATGCTTCCTCCATCCTCTTCTTATTCTTTTCATCCCTTTTCCTCTGATCATATATACACACATGTTCTCACCAACAAACGCTTCCTAGAGCTTTTTTCATCCATCACCCACATGGTGCTTCCCTTCTTTTCAAAACGCACACCTACACCAGCTACGGTATAACTGCGGTTCATACGTACTCCGCCCAATCGACCGACCACTTGACCCCAAATCTTGTTTGCTGGCTGCGTGGGCTCAAATTTCACCCATTTCCCCCCCCTCAAAAATCTTTCCTGTCGCTCTCGCAGTACCGCTGTCTGTCGTTATCTCTCTTCTTTCCTCCCTATCCGGGAACCAGTTTATTGCGTTCCGACAGCTCGGTAAGACCGTCTCACAAAGCACAAAACAGCAGTTGGGCCCTTTCTTGGCCGCACCCGGAGCCCTACACAACCGACGGAGTCGCGGGGCGGAGAGACGACCCAGGAAAAACTGAAAACAGTTCGAATAAACGAAAACGAGGTATCGGACCACAGCCAACCACCCTCCCAAAAAAGAATACGGGGAGAGAAAGAGGGCAAGGGCGTGTAAAAAAGAAAAGAAAGAAAGAAAAAAATCCTTTGTGAACCTTTTTTTGTTAATTGCTGTAAGGGGTGTGGGGAAAAGCTTCTTCACTCTTGATTAAAAAGAGCACGGGATAGATAACCATATAGTTTATATATAAACCCCCAACAACCTTTTTTTGTGTTGAAAAGAGAGAGCCCCCCGTCCCGGGACCCTCTCTTGCGAGAAAAGAAAAAAAGAGGAATGATGACGATCCAGATGGGCACTCTTTCCCAGACACGTTCGCTCCTCTTTAGCTGCCTTCTCACGGCATTAGTAGTCTACACGCTGTCCACACGGTTCAGCTCGCCGCCCCGCGGCTTCGTTCCCACGTCTGGCTACAGCCCTGAGCTTGGGAGGCCCTATGCAGAAGACGAAGAAGTCATACCGCACGGTATCTCGGTGTTCAAGCCGGATGGATACAAGAAGCATCTGGTGCTGCCGAGAATGTCGAATGAGGATGTGTCTTGGCTGACATATCTCCCGCCAGAGATGATGATCACGCCGAAGCCGTACATTGTGGATGCCGACCTTCGTAATCCGCCTGTGGGGGCCATGACAACGCCGATAAATAAGGTACGCCACCGATATATATTGAAATTGTTTAATAAATGTTAATATCATTGTAGGGACATGAGGTGCTGGTATACCTCACCTACATTATCGAGCATTACGATCATGCCCTCCCCGACATAATAATCTTTGTCCACGCCCACTCGGCCACCTGGCACAACAACGACCTCCAGCTCGCCTCCACGCCCGTCATGCTCCTCGAAATGAACTACCTGCGCGTCCTCCGCCACGGCTACGTCAACCTACGCTGCCACTGGCAGCCCGGCTGCCCCGCCTGGATCCGCGCAAACACCACCGAGACCGACATCAACAAGCCCGAGGAGGCCCTCTTCCGGAAAGGCTTCCAGGAGCTATTCCCCGGCGAGAAAATGCCAGACATCTTCTCAACCGCGTGCTGTGCCCAGTTCGCCGTCACGGCAGACACAATCCGAAAGCACCCCAAGGAGCGCTACGTAAAGTGGCGCCAGTGGATCATCGACACGGAGCTCGAGGACAGCGTCTCGGGCCGCATCTGGGAGTATCTGTGGCAGTTTGTGTTTCCGGGGCCGGAGCGGCTGGGGTCGCTGGAGGAGCGCGCGACAAGCTGCCCGAAGGAGCATGTGTGCTACTGCGATGGGTATGGGTACTGCTTTGGCGGCGAGAGGGAGTATGAGGCGTTTATGGCACAGAGGCGCAAGGCGAATGATCTGAGGTCACGCTTGCAGCTGGCGGAGGAGGATACGGAGGCGGTGATGGACGATTGGAGGAGGGAGGGGATGGACCGCGTCCGGGCGGAGATCAAGGAGTTGGATGATTGGTGTGAGGAGGAGGCGGTGAGGGCGAGGATTCGAGGGAAGGACCCGAAGATGAGGAAGCTGGAGCTGGGGAGCGAGTTCTCAGGATAGGGTGGGGCGGGATTTGTGGCACCTGTTATATTAGCGATTTGGTGTCCCGTTTTGAGATTTTTTTGGTCTGGGGATCTTCTTTTACATATTTTATATATAGATTCAGTTTATTTTTGCAGTGATATCATTGTGCTTGGAATGATGGGAATATTGCGATTGCCATAGCTTTAAGGCTGCATGCAATTAATGGATTAAAAAAAAAGGAAGGGTGTGGGAGACCGAGTGATAATCTATGATTACATGTAATCAGACATGAATCAGTATGTGCTAAGACTATTTTTTTATGCTAATACCTGTCATTTATTCGTCCGTTTGATTGTAGTCTCGTACCCGTCCCAAGTTGCTCAGGTTTGATGCCTATGTAGTCTTGCTCGGGCCGTTTGATCTGCGGTCTACTGAAGCATCAACGGCACAGATACTTTAGCGGAAGGGCCCTAGCTACATGTTACGTGATCTTAGTCTGGCGTGCACGGTGTGTTAGCTAGAATCAGAAGCGTATGTGAGCAGCCTAGGACATACTAACAGAGTCGGGTACCTAACCAGGTACTCTAGGTGAAGGCAGTGTATATATCGGATGCATGGTGGAGATGGCGCAGTGCATGAATATGGGAATATGCTTGGCCGATGCTTTCCCGCGACGTGGGGCTTGGTGGCGCCCCTAAAAATTGTTGGTTTGGTGCCAGCAAGCTCTCTGAAACATGTGGGCCGGAAATTAAAGGAATCGGGAGGGATATCAGTATATGTATGTATCCGAAAAGCATCTGGGAACGTATCCATAAAAGTGCCAGGAGAGACGGCGGCGGGGGCGTTGAATATGAGGAAAAGCATTAAATAAGGGGAAATGTGTCGGGAAAGGCACTTTTGGTTTGTTTAATACTTCTTTTCCCAACACCTGCTGCGACATGCACTTTAGAGATTCGTTCAGCAATCGTGATATGAAGGGCATATGTGGGACTATATTCATTGTCCTTGAGCATTATATATTTACACAATTACTTGCAATTGACTAATACTATACATCTAGTTTTATGAATTAGATACACCAATAAATGCAGTTATGGGAAATCGAATATATAGATGTCTTTTCGAGATGCTTATCAACAGATCCACGTATTCATACATATCTGCAACAAGACGCGCCAAATTATATGAATACAAGTACTACATGGATTGCATGCACCGGAATATATCCTATGATAGTATTATGTGGATATCACCGTTACAGTAGACATCCTGCAAAATTGGTTCGTGATTATATCTCGAATACGTATCGAGATGACCACAAAGGGTATTCCTAGTCTGATGACATCACCTAGCGTATAGATTAACGGTTGGTTTAGGTGTGGTTGTGTGCTGCATGTGGTGTCAAACGTATCATTGCCCGCCATTGCCAAGCCATCTCACAGCCCGACGTACTAAATTAGCTATAAAAAGAACAACAGTAATTACTGGGAATTAACTGGATGGGCGAATATCGAATGATATAGACAGCTGTATATGGCCAGTGGGGCCCTCCCACCTAGAATAGAATGTAGAAAGCAGTGCCTGTACGTCCAGTCGAGGGCATGTAAGTCTTTCTTAAAGAGAACGACTGTATTTACCACGTCTCGGTCATGTATATTAGGGAGGGGGTGGGCATCAATATAAAGACCACCGCTATACCAAGACTTTCAAAGAGTGATCGGATAGAGTAGACATGCAGCTATTTTGAGTTTAAATCGTGTTTCTGGAACCATGTGGCGAACGATAGTTAGATGCATCGATGTGTTATAGACGCTTTTGTCATCTTTCAGCTAGTCAGGCTAGATCATGTGCACCCCTAGATACCCTGTCTATATGCAAATATCAACAGACATCCACGCGATGCTAACCATAACGTTGCAACCATACCCTGTACAGCTGAAAGCAATGCCACCGGACACTAATTACCGCGCATTGTTCCCCACAGTCGATGCTACGGATGAGTTACAGGATATATCCTAAGACCCGGGCGGATGAATACTGACATATGTTCTACTAGCTGTAAGGCTGAACATAGATGTGTAGTCGGACATGCCGTGGACAATGTCTTACATGCCCTGATGCTTAATATGTACTCGCGACCAGCAACAAGAACCCGAAAATGCACGTCCTAATCTGCAATTTCCATTAGAGTAGAAGTCAAAAACACACCAAAGACTTGCAGCTGCATATTCGGGTTCTTGTTGCTGGTCGCGAGTACCGTGTACGACACGTTACGCAATCTTGAATTTTGATGGGCCGGCGATACTAGTATGCCTACATAAATGTACCTAGGAGCCAGCGATTGAGAGATTTCGTGTTGATTCAGCTTGAAGCTGTGTCTCCCAATACTCTCATATGATCGTATGCTACATTGGTTATGGGGGTGTCGAGGGTTTGTGCTTATCTTGACAAACACTAGCTAGTTATGCCCACCGAGTGATCAATCGTGATTAAAATTGAAAACACGAGTGCAATACGCCATACACGCTGATCGTAGATGATCGAGATCTTTCCCGCCAAATAATACACGAAATGTTGCTGGGAATCTACCGTGGATTCAAGGATAATGACACAATGCCATGGAGCTGGGTCAATTGCGTCAAAGAAAAGGTGTTGGCGAGATAACTGCATTATGCAGCAGCATGAAGGGTGTGGTAGGGCTGAAGATTTCCGCAGTTTTTCCTCCAGATGTCGCTAATTATATCTACATTCAGCTTGGACAGGTGAAAAAAGCAAAAGTGTTATACTCTACCATATGTACCAGCGTTGTTGTCGGGAGTATCGGGGTCAGCATTTTATTTCGAGCGGGGTAGGCATATATCAATATTAGAGCTGTACTATGTACCGTCTGCACCTGCGCAAACACTTCGGATGGTGCCATGATTTGCTGTTTTCTAAAAAATTTCTTTTTCTTGTTGCGTCTTCCACGCCTGTACCCGGCTGTGAGCTAGTTGTGCCCTTTTTTAAGGACCTGTCAATCTGTGAAGAGATATGCGGGTTGGACATCCTTCAAACGATAATGCATCGCGTTCCCCCACGAGTACGTGGCTTAGCTATGACCAAATTGATCCAGTACCCATGCAGTCCAATTGCCAATTCTCGAATTGGACTGTGCAGCTATTGGGATGCACCAAAGTTTACTCGGTTTGATTCTTTGGAATCGGAAGTAAATATGTCGCGGAGTGTTTCCATGGCCTAATTCGGCCAGCACATGCTCTAGCATTTCAGCCCGCTTAGTAGAGATTGGCTTGTGTAAAGCAGTAATGGTACATCAAATACTGCTTTGGGGCCGGTTACGATAGAGTAGTTTCCTAATCAAAAAAGTTTCAAGTATCAAAAGATCCCTGGTCCATGTAGCTTCAACCTTTTGATTGAAGGTTCGGTTTAGAGTTTTTCCCGATATATAATTAATATCAAGAAGATCCCATGAATATTAAGACCTTATTCCGTGAACCTTGCTACCATATTCAAAGATAAAGAAACGTTTGCTAAGGACAGGCAACTTCCGTCATCGGGGTTAATCACATGTATTTTTGATTGTATTTAGCAACTCCATGATTCGATAGCTCCCGTTCAACCACAGAACCATCGATTTTGGCCAGTCTAGGGGATAGGAATGGGCATATGAGCTCATTTATATTTCCTAACACCACGAGGATATATGAAACCTGTCAGTTTATGCCAAAAGTCTCAGGAAAGACCTCCTATTCATGAAAATAATAGCAGTAAAAGTCAGCCTCGTGACCTTAAAATGTTCCAGCACCACGGGAACAGTGGCCTAGGCCCACTTGGACCAATAGGCAACATTGAGAAGTATGGTTCATATTGTCAATTTCTATCAAAGTTATTCCTTGTCAAGATAGTGTTTAAATCCTTATATTGAACTTTAGGGATAGCCGTAGATCAAGGCAGAAGCGGCCATGATAGTTGGTATAAACTTTTCTGACTACAAACGGGCCAAGCTCCGAGAGGTAACCTAGGGTTCCGGTCCTAGAGATATGGAAGCCTAATGAGGACTTGCATCTCATTAAAGGGAAATGTTTCGGGAATGGTGATTTAAGGGACACGCATTGAGTAGGTCCAGTACTCATTCATGTTAAATGACTGGAAGCTAATCTGCGCCTTGTTCGAAATAACTGTTATACCTAGCTTTGTCAATGTCAGTTATAACCACACGTACGAACATTTTTACTACATTGGGAGTAAACTTGACCCGATAATTGACTTAACTCTAGAGCCGGTGGCGATACTCGATTTGTACAAAGCATTTTCATGAGATGAATTGCCTAAAGCACAAAGCAAACTTGGACTTTAAGAGAGCCTTCAGGAGCTGGAGCAACAACGAAGCGGCCAGCGGCCACGCGCCTAAATCCAGGTCTGCTTTTGAACCGTTGCATGCATGCATACTGAGTTAGATGATAGTCCCAATAACCTCTGAAGTTCTTTCGATGTTATTTTTTGTGGCTTGAAAATGCGCGTTTTCCAGCCAGTCACAAGCCAGGGATGGTACATGGTACATACCCCAAATTTGGAACTCTTGTCACATAACACTAATCTGGCGTTATACTAGTCTCCAGCCCCAAATCCCACATAAGCTAGATATCTCTATTGAAGAACCCACTTTGACTCCATTGGAGCCTTTATGCTATCTACCGCCGTGGTTGAACGGAAGAGCTGGAGCTGAGAATTATCCGCTGATCGCAAAAACCATGATAGCTGAGATCTGTACTTAATTGGAATTCTATACAGATAGTCGAGTGATCTTGTCAGAGCTGTTTTGCATCTGTGGACTCTAAAGCGTAAAAGCAGAGTACGTATACCTACTACACTGTGTTGTGCACGTCACACAGCCTGGTTTAGTACCGGCTCTGGGAGCTAACCGTGTCAATGATCCCACCACCGGGACATATATCCCTGTCTAAGCTCGGTTAGCTTTGTGTAAGATCATGAACCAACTACAACGAGACTCAGATCAGTCAACCGTACGTGCATGAGCTCAAGCGATTCCGTTTTCAATAAGCCGCAAGGCTGAATAAAAACTTGGCTATCTTTGGCCAGGGATTATCTCACTAACGATTGGCTTAAAGGAGTCATCAAACTGCGTCAAGAATCTCCTTTAGTAGTAGCTAGCTAGATTTGATGGCACAGGCCAGCCAACGTTTCGAGTTTTTGCGGTGTATGCAGCACCTTTGCTTTATTGGCATTACTGTGGGACACATACTGGTATGATATCTGCGGATCTTGTGATTCGTGATCATAAACTCTGTCAGTGCTGTGAGTGACGTTGATGGTGGTAACGTTATGGGAATTAAACTTAAGTATACATGTAGTTTCGATTATAATCAAGGTTCGCTGAATATATTAGAACTTGTATATCATGAGTTAAGGTTATATCGGGGGGATTTATGCTGGTATTAGAATTATAAGTTTGAATCAATGATTGGAAATTGGTCACCTGAATATGCGTGATATCTTAAGTACTCAAGCCATATATAGTGTCAATGAATCGCACTGTACCTAGGTGCCATTTCTATCATTAACGTCGAGATTTGACGCAAAAAGTATTGTAAAACCTTACAAAATATCGTGAATAATATAAGATTGTCTACCTAAACGTCAAGAATTATGTACGGCCGGTATTCGCCTCGAGGATATGCAGCGTTTCTAAGTAACTCGGCCGGAATCTTCGATCCAAATGTTGTATGCCCATGTAAGAATGGAACCTAGAGAATAAAACTAATCAAAAAGCAATGGGAACTTAATACGGCGAGCGATATATTCCTATCCTACTTTTGCAACGTAAGTGGTCGACATCAATTAAACTAGTTTGACCAAGAAACCCAATGAAACTACCCCCCTCATACCTTAGGGGTTTCAACCGTAGCTGGCTTCCCGTATTGGATTTTATATTGAATCCATAGGTCTCACCGCCTCGAGCCAATGCACTCACTATATCTTGAGGTTGGCTGCCTAGATATATGTACCCCCTATTGCTAAGACAACTTATAATATTGGCCAATATCGAGTTACAGGACCTAACGCACGGTGACAAATCTTTGGGCTAGTCATTGTGAAAAACACTTCCCAATAACTCCTGAGCCTTTTAAACGAATAATATTTAGAATCTTCATATGTTCGTTTGATATCAAGCAATTTTCGGCTGATTTGTGTACACCAATGAATTTGCTGCAATCCCATAGGAAGCGGAGGATAAAAAACTCTATGTAATATAGTTGATAGGCGGGCTAGGTAATGTTTTTCTTCGCGGCTCAAGGTTTCTTTTGAGAGATAGAAATATTACGTTAGTACAAACATGAAGACAAGAGGTTGTATGGCGACGGTTTCGGCTGAGAAAGGTATTATAAAACCTACGTATCAAACTGGTATTCCTGACCTAGAGAGATCTAAAGGTTCTTGACGCCCGCCGCTGCGAGTTTGAGATGGTGGAGGCTGAGGGAGAATATGGAAAAAAATTCGAAAACCATATTGGGTTATGAACGTAAGAGGAACGACCACGACAGCTATCCAATGGTATTGGCGTTTACCTTAATGGGGTACGTGCATAATGAGCGGCTCTTTGACTGGGTAGGAGATGACTATCCGGCCGCAATGAAGTTCTGGAGATACATATCTCAAAGGTTGAGTCCTGAAAGCTTGCAGACATCCTGTAGATGTGCGTTGAATCGTTGAGATAGCACGGCAGAAGCCGTCTTTCGACCCGTACCCTGTCATGGCTGCTGCTTGGCATATGCAGGTTGATTACCCCGATTGCATATTATAAAAACGAATATAGCCATTTTTGTACACCTAGTGAGCTGTAGGGACCATATGCAACTGCATTTTCCCCCTCTATGGCTTCGGAATTTCGCCTGATAATTCTCATAGATCGAATACTCTTCCTGGATTTTGTTAAGCTAAAAAGAATTATTCTGAGCCACTTGGTGTGTAGCTGATATATCGATATCATACATGATCGGGCCTTGAAATTACATGTAGTGGACCAAAATATAGTTGTGTGCCAAGTGACGCATATTCAATATGTGGAAGAGGATTGAGATGGTAGATCGTCATTCTAGAGATAGCGAACCTAAAATTTGGAAAGAAACAAGGTGCACCTTGGGGGGTAGCCTTAGCTTGTATTTGGGGTTTGTCGATCAAGCATTTCCTGGTCTGATATACGTACCTCAACACGTGTATGTGCGGTTATTGAGTCTTATTGGGGTTATATTCATAGAAAGTCGACCATGACCCGCCATACCATGCCTGTTAAAAGGCTTAATTGGCTGGAAATACATTTGTTCACATTGAACCTAGGCCTAGGGTCAAAAGTAAAAATTGAGAAACTAAAGGAGGACATCGTTTTACGTTCTGTTTTACCTGAAGCTTAGAAAGCTTATCATTCAAAGTGGGAGTGCAAAAACCGCCTTCCAAATCTTCGGGACGTGATGGTTTACAAGAAGAATTCGAAATGCCAATCACATAATCACTGCCTCTGGCTGTATGTACAAATGGTTTTTCATTAGAATCATACAGATACGCATAAAGAACTACAAACTCTAGGTAGACATTGACCTAAAGATCACAGACATTGCTGGTGCGCAGGGTCCAACTAGTCGCGCTGCCAATGGGTAACGTTCTCGCCACTCGGTCCCCGCTGGCTCACATCCATCTCTTCACTAGACCTGGGGTTACACCATGATATTTCCTTCCTTTTTTCCTTCCATCCTTCTAGGTATTCAAGGTAACAATCATTGCGCAAATATGATTCGGTGTGCAACCTGTAGCTCTGTGAATGAGCCGCAACGATACTATCGTGTTGGACATGCTATTAAATACCCACCTCCCTGCGGATGAGATTCGTTCATAAAGTCAATAACTCAAGTATCATCGTCTCTCTCACTATCAATTCTTACTCACATGACTTACAACGCAAACCAACATCAAATGGAAGGCCCCCCTTCCCCTTCCACCGACACAGGAGACGATGATCACAGCATGACAAACTCTTCTGTATCTTTCGAGGAGACGTACTCGCCTTACGAAAACACAAGCCGTCAGCTATCTCCAACAAGCGATACATCCTTCACCACCTTTAGTTATTCGTTCCCTTTCTGTAATTATGGTCAAGGCAGGTCGGGAGAAATTGGTGGTCAAATCAATATCACACAGAATGTGTATACGCATGATGGATCTATCGATTACGAACACTTGGTTCCCAGGGATACGCGTCTTCCCAGCCAAGAAATATCGTCCCCTGAACTCTTTAAGTATGCCCCCACCATATCCGTTCCCCTAGTATCCACCCAGAACTAACATTTCCTAGCACATGGCCGATACCGGGAACAGAATACTATATATCACAAACAGAGGCCCTTTCCCCTTGCTCCATTCCTGAAAGCTCAACCTATCAACTAGCCCCCCCCAATAACTCTAGCAAAGGCGACGAGTGTGAAAAGGAACCCAAAAAGTAAGTAATTCCTGGAGTTGAATTATGATTTCGGTTTTTGGTCGCTGGTTCATGTTCCTAATTCTGGATTATGGTTAATAGGCGCAAATCTGGCAGAAAACCCAAAATTTGCCAGCTGGATGATTGCAACAAACACTTCAGAAGAAGCGCAGAGCTCACAAGACACCAAGGATCAGTCCATCGAGAAAAACTCAAAAAGAAACCCGTCCTTATTCCCTGTAGCTACCCTGGCTGCTCTAGGTCTGGAGAAAATGGGTTTAAGCGTAGGGACAACTATATGCAACACCTTAGAGGCCCTCACAATGAAGTGATACCCAAGAGAAAAAGGGGCCGGAGTGTCCAACAGACCCCATACGTTCCAGATATCGGTACTCCCAGGTGGCCTCTCGATCACTTCGAGTATTAATTCCATTATCATCATAGTCGAGCCGGGCGTGAGACTCATGATTACATCTCGCTCTATGGACCGATAACTGAGCCTGCACGATAGTAGGCGGGCACCTTTTGGACTCAAAGGCACTGGATTGCCAAATCCCTCGCTCAATGCACACCCCCGTCGTTTCTGTATGTAGACTTAAGGAGGTTCATGAGTCTTCAACGCTTTTCTGCTCCAATGGGCCCATGTATTCACAGCTTCCTTTGACAGAAAGAATTGTATGAGTAATTTTATGAGCGCATGTAGTAGTTTCTGATTGTCTCTCTTTTCGAAACATTTCATTTGTATCGGATTGGCTACTGGTCTATTGTCTGCGGGGTTGACTCTGGTCGGTTGTAAGCTATGTGTGACTTGTATTGTCTTCCCTAGGCTACTATACATATGACTGGTATGTAATTAAAAAAAAAAAAAAAACTAAGCGTCTCTTTCAAGTTATGATTATGTTATCGAGTGAATGATGGGGAGACATACGCTATAAAGTTAACATTTCTACCCCCTCGAAACTCTTAGCTCGGATAGGAGCTAGACAAATGGATGACCCCTAGGCCTAGATATTTATAAATCATCGAATGTAAACCGCGTGGTTAGCTTGTCAATAATCCTATTAGAAGCTACCAGGCAGAACTTTAGTGATTATACAGGGTAGCTCCACGTATCCTTTGGTTCTTTGGATGATTTGTTCTTGCCTCAACCTAAGGATATCGGTCGTTTGGCACAGTGTTGAGTTGGTGTCGTCTTGCTTAGTCATTGGTGCATGAGGCATTGCCCTACGCAACCCTCACACAGAACGAGGTAGACAATCTTCCTCTCGACGTATTTAACTGATGATCCTATTGAATTGTTCCTGCAGAGGTGAGCCATTGGTACCTGAACTCCCCCCAAGACTTGACTTTCTCTTGTTATGGATTGGCGAAGGTCTATAGCACAGAGGACTATCAGAAATCAGAATGCAAAAGATGAAAGTAGCATTGGACTCGATACTGTGGGGAAATCCCTCAAGACGTGTTGTTTTTTGCTAACGTTGGTGAGGAATAGTTTGGAGATGTCCTGAGCTGCACAAAGCATCGATGGAGTTCTTGGAAAATATCGATGGGAATGCAGTGGTATTTGTAGTAGGGAGCCACTAGGCTTGAGACAGCTGAAGAGGCCATTAATCTATAAAAAACTCATCCCATTGGTCTATTTCTATCTTCAGAAGGCTGATCTACCAGCAATATAAAAAAGCTATGCCTTATTACGGTTATTAGTGTTGCCTTGAACTCATCCGGCTAGAACAACCTCCAGCCCTATGTACCGACCAAAGTAAGATGTTGCCCTGTTAGACTGGGAGGTACATGTAGTTGCCTTGTGTCATACTGCATATTGTTGAGAGAATAGTTGACTCCAACGTAGGCATGCGCAATGGTGCATTACTGGGTCGATAGCACTTCGTCCCAGATGATTCATAAATCAGGTATGGGGAACTCCTGTAGCATTGCCCCAGATCTTAAGAGCAGTGCTAGTGGCTAAGTGGGATTGACCAGATCATCGACTTTACTAATTTACCTTTCAAAACTTCATAGACGAATACCATGATCAATCGAAAGTCGATATTTAGAAGCAGGTTCACACAAATCTCAGACAACAATAATTACAACCTGTCAATCTATCGGCTCTCCCGACTCTGCGTATCAGCTACGGTCGGAGCTTAATCCTATGGGTGTGCATAACGAGATCGAGGTACGCCAATCAAACAGATTCCCGCAGAAATTTGCACATGTATGGATCACATGATCTGAGCTGTAGAGTAAGTGCAAGATTGTGATAACTGGCTGTTTTATATCCCGTTATGATAAATATGTGTGGATTTGACCTAGCTAGTGTTGGGAGATAAAGGAGGTGCATGCGAAGAATACACGTACATAAGGTACTCGCGACCAGCAACAAGAACCCAAATATGCAGCTGCAAGTCTTTGGTGTATTTTTGACTTCTACTCCAATGGAAATTGCAGATTAGGACGTGCATTTTCGAGTTCTTGTTGCTGGTCGCGAGTACGCATGTGCATGTAAATGACGATGCGCACTCATCAGTACCTACAGTTTATCGATAAATTCTACGGCTAAATTTTATTATAGATTCTAGATATTGGTACACGAGCCTATCATATTGAGAAGATTATCATCACATAGGAGCACGAAACAAGATGGTCAAATAGAAACAAAGATCAATAAATTCCATGGAGTTCTCCTACTCTCGAGGCCAAGACAGACACTTGTAAGCAATCAAAGTTCAGCCCAACTCGACGTTTACTTTTTAGCTAAAGGCAAAGAATAAGCTGGCCATCATATCAGTGGTGTTCCAATCCTGATTAAACATTAGCGAAGATAATTAGAGGTGTTCGTCAGGCTAATCTCAGTTTGTCCTCAGTTTCACAATTCATTTTCTCAGCTGCAGTTACCGCTAAACTCGCCCAATCAGATTCCGACTAGAATTGACCTGGTCGAGTCCCCATTTATATATAGCATCGAGCCTAGCAGCTCCGCACTTTCTTGGTATTTACACTAGGGTATAGTGATATGGCTTATATATATCTAGCTAGGTAACATAATTATCTTGAATAGCGGATAATTGTGCACTCTAGCCTTAGGCTCAACTATTTACACTTTTCGTAGTACCAAACTTGTGGTTAAATGACGTTATTATACCTACCACAGGGTTTGATGGGCCTATTTCGTGAAGTGAGCTCCTTGGCCTACCAGATATGTACCTATATATTTCTCGGTGCGCGTACTAGGTATACTAGTTGAAATGTAAGAAGTTGGGAACCAATCCTTTGTGTGGTAACTCGTCCCTGCTCTGTGTTCATTTAAATACCTCTAGTTTTAATTTAGCAGCTCGGACCGGTTTAAATTGCATATCAAATCGTCGATTTAATGGGTTAGCTAGTTAATCCATGCCTATAATAAAGATATGACCAGAGTACGAATTTTGAGTTGTCATTTAGGTACTGATCGATATATAAGCACTACTCTGGAGTAGCGTAGAACTAGACTGGTACCCGCTCGAATAAGAAAAGGAACAGTGCTCACTGCCCGCATTTCCTCCCAACAACTCGCGCCCTATTTACAACTGCAAGTCTTCGCTAAACCTGCAGGACATGCATGGCCCAAGTCTATGCACGACATCTATAGAGTATCGATATCGCCATGCAGGGCCCAAGGTAAACGATAACCTAAAACCCTAACCCTCCGCGGCCCCTAGGGCAACTTTTTGTGTGCTTTGTAACTTTCCCCGGTTTTCCGCGCTGCACACTGACGGCAAAACCGACTATCGGATGCATGTGGGCAGCCTTGAGATGGTTGATGTTGGTGTTTTGATACCTGGGCCATGGCCATGGATTTACCATCTTCTGACACACAGCAGCAGATCCGTAGATCAGGTCGACGTCTCAGCTGCAGATGCTATTCGATCTATAAGGCTTATGCTATGTGGTACATGCCCGTGCTATCTTTGGGATTATTGCATGTATGTATTATAATTAATGTGCGTGCCACACATATAATTATACTGTAATATTGCAAGGCAAGTACATGCTATGTAGGTACCATATCTATGTTTCGCTAGTTTCTCGGGAGACCACTACATGTATCTTATATGGGTTCATATGGCTTTGTATACGACACGTAGTCGACTTAACGTTAAATTGTAACGTTCAGTTCTACAAATACCCTCTACTTTATACCTACATGTATTTCCTTGGGAAGGGAAATTTAGCGAGCATTTTGCTCAGAAGCCTACCTGCTGTTCAGTAAGAGCCTCTAATGTGGCTAGATCTTGCTCCGCTCAGGAAGTAATAAGTTCATCCCCCAATCACGCTGTTCGCAAATATTGGAGCCTTTCCTATTTCGCAAGGATCGAGTCTAATAGCTCCCTAGCTAGTAGCCTATAGCTAGACTACAGGTATGTTGTAGTTGAGTAAAGGTAGCCCTCAAGCCTATTCGAGCTGGAATTCTGCAACATGCCTAGATCAAATATCGTTTATAGTAAAGACACTTTTACATATTGACCAATGATCAAAATAGATACCAAGATCAAGAATTCTGTTATCTCTTTCGATATCTGCAGCCAACTGGGTTAGGGTTCCCTAATGCATGGCATGTAGATCATCAACCCCTCGAACCAACCGCGTGCAGTTCCCAAAAACTCACGATGGGGGACCACTGGGCATAGACAAGATCTCCCAGGGTGCTCTACTTTACTTTCCCTCTCCTCTACATAGAGTACCTAGAGTAACCACCTACATACCCTACCTAGCAGCTCCCCGTCCCACCCCCCCTTCCCCTTTTTCTCAACTACAAACCACCACCGCCACCACCACCACAAATCCAGATCGTGAAAAAGAAAGAAGGAAAGAGAAGAAATTTTCTTCCGCAAATCCCCATGGAACACGTGCCACCGCCACTCTCAACAACACCTCGACCAGGAGTAGTGGTAGTAGGAGTAGGATCGGGATCAGGAATAGGAGTGGGAGGCCGCCGCTCAATCCCATACCCAACATCGCCCCGCGATCCCCCACAAAGTCCGTTCAAGCCCACGTCGTCGCTACGGCACCGCCGACAGAGTAGCTCGACGATCATGAGCGGGGGGCTAACAATGTCCCCAGGGAGCTTGTACGAGATGGAGACTGAGGGTCATCGACACACGTCGCTGTGGTCCAGGGACGTGGAGGCTGCGAGCCGTAACCTGGGGAATGCCGTGAGTAGTGGTGGAGGAGGGGGAGGTGGTGTTGGTGGGGTCATGAGGCAAGACTCAGACGATGAGGGGTTAGGCAAGATCTCACAGGCCATGGTAAGTGAAAAAAATTAAAGAAAAAAAAAAGAACTACAACCAACAAAAAAAGGATTATGCATCGATACATTAATATATTATTACATTCCACTAACGCACGCTCAACACACCACAGACACTGCTCTCGCTCCACCGTGGCCAGAACGACGCCGACAGCCACGGGCAGTCCTCCACAGCAACCACGCCTCGTTCAGCCAACATCCCGCCGTCGTGGCCGGATCCGGAAGAGCTCTTAAAAGAATCGCTGCGGCAGTCGCTGTCGGCGCTGCACGCCCTGGGGCGTATCAAGGCGCTCAGTGGGCGGCTGCCGGCCGACGAAGAGGTTGATACGGGCGGTGAGATTGCGCAGATCATGGGCATTTATGATCGTGCGGTCGGGGAGATGAGGGCTGCGGGGGAGGTGCTGGTTAGTATTTTTTTTCTCTCTCTTTCTTCTCGTACTCCTTCTTTCTTGGTTTTGTGGAGTTATGCAGGTCAAGGACTGGTGGTGCTAATTGCGGTGGGTAGGATTTGGCGCAGCAGTATCTGGCGAGGGAGAAAGAGGTGGTGCTGGAGCAACTGCTGAAGGGGTAGAGATGTGCGGCTTTGTTCTCTTTGGGATATCCAACGCCTTTGTGAGAGTTCGATATAACAGCCATGGCTTTGATCACTGCAGGTCAACTAACTCGGCAACTCATTGACCCAGAGTCCTCCCTATTTTGGAGACAGATAGTTAGTACTAATGTTCCTGTACTACTACTACTCTATTAGCTGCTTGAGAGTTGTTCCTTCCTGCTTTTCTTTTCTCCTTTCTTCCTCCTCATCTTCCTGTTCGTTTATTTCTAGATATCATTTGGGGGGCGTTTAGGGGTGTTGGTCCTTTTTTTTTTGTCCTTTTTTATGACCTGATGAACATTTATATTCATGTATTATTTTAGCATGAGGAGTGGTAGCGGGCGATATCTAATGCATTATTATAAGTAACCCCACTTGTAACCAAGCCGAAACAGGAAACAGGAAACAGGATTTAAATCATTGATACCACTGCGAACCGCATGCAATTAAGAATAGTAGTAGGTATGTGGATTATGAAGAACTTGATCTAGATCTCGTAGAATTAACAATATTTAATCTTGCCAATATTGTGTTCACCCAATTGCAATTGCAAGTCCGGTTGATATTAACACCTACTTGTATGTTTCCTACACTATATGCTGAGATTCGGCCAATGATTATGACCCCATCCCTTAGTAACCTAACCTGCTTATATACACTGAGAAAGCTATACCACTTCACTACCACCTAGCCCAATTAACCCCCCCCCCCCCCCACAAAGCACAGCTCAGATGGCTGCGAGTATTGGCATCAAAGGGTTATATAGGGATTTCACTCCATCTTGGCACACCGCCAAGCTCAAGCATCACTTCCCACGCAACTCCCAGTATGGGCGAGTGGTCTAGTGGTTAGACTGCTCGTCAGGTTAGACACCGCGTGTTTGGTCTCAGGATAACAAAAGGTCCCGGGTTCAAACCAGGGGTGGGGGTAGTAACGCGCACTGATGAATAAGTCGTTGCAGTACCTTTTGCGCTTTTTGTGGTAAAATAGATTAGGAGGCTATTTTGATTCTTTGACAGAAAGAAGGCGGTGATTGGTGGGTCAATCGGGAATCATGCATTATCATGCGATTCGAAGCAGTTTAATCCATCGAGTACTGCAGCTTTTTTTTTCTTTTTCTTTTCTGTTTAATTCATGAGTACTGCAGCTGCGGGGAACTCGATATCTCAAACAAGCAGTGTACGTCCCCCCCCACTCGTGAGTTCGGCCTATGTAGTACAGAAACCTCCTATCTCAAGTATACCCATAGGCAGCAAGAGTGCTACAAAATATCTAGGGACAAGGTTTCATCTTAATAGAGCGGCATACATGTATGTATAAGAAGTATCTACACGTATATACCCAGCTATATGTACATGTAGTTAGTTAAGTTGCTCTATCTAGCTCACGAGTTAGTTGCTTGTTCAGCCGGTCGCCGGCCATCCCCTAGCTAGTGGGAATAATAGACTTTACAGGCTTTAGCGAAAGAGATAATTAATCAGGGTGGCTGTAGCTTGGGAAGGTATTGCGGGTTGACAAAATTATCCGAACATTGTTGCAACCAAATTTTCAATTTCAACGTCGCCTTTTTCCACAACCACAAGGAAAGAGTACAAGAGATTTGATTGCTGTGATTTCTTATACCCCTATTATCTTAAACTTCAATATGAAGTCAATTGAAGTGGTTTCAAAAATCGGTCATTCTAGCTAATCTGTTTAGTTGCGACGCGAACATCCGGATAATTTTGACAACCCACAATACATATAGCTGTGTATGTTAATGTGCATATGTATGGTACTACAGTGGAGGGGAGGTAATAGTGGGGGTGGATGGGAACTGTTACCGAGTCGAGTCGAAGTAGAGTTCAGAGTCAGAGGGATCGGGGAGGTACGGTACCTGAGTCAGTTGCAGATCGATATGTGTTTTAAACAGCTCATCAAGACAGAGGCTTAACTAACACTGTCTCGGTCGGCTTCGAAAAGATATCTAAAGATCTAGCTGGTTGTATATCGTTGCAACGTTGGCTATTATTAGTGTGGCAATTTAGCTTCGAGATCGAGAGTATGAACCTACAGATAGATACAGAACTCCATTAGTTGAATTCTGTGACTCTTTCATTCAGACGAAGTCTCAATCCTTTGACAAAGTCCATAGATAATCTACTAGCAAGTCGCCACAGTATGAATAACAGAGAAACATGGCCATCCAGAGTCCAGACACCGTGCCCTTGCCCTTATGTTCCTTACCCATGCCCGTGCCCGTGCCCCAATATCCCAAATCCCGGCTATCTACCGAGAGCTCGTCCCACCAAAGTAAATATCACGTAGATTAATATAATATAATCCCACGGCGCCGAGCACTCCCGCCATGGCGGTAGAAGCCATCTAGTCTAGTTGCACAAGACAAGCCATAGTACAAATCTCGTGTAACGAGCTAGCTACAGAAATAGAGTTGAGCCGGGATCCGAAGCGAGTAGATTAGGGTAGAGTAGGTAGTATTACACGGACCTTGTACTCTCGATAGATGATTGTGGATCCAGTGGTCTAGGCCTGCCGCGGAAAATGGGTAACGACCCTCTGGCTAACTTGAAGGGTCTTGCAGTACTGTGCCTGTACTACACCTACAGAGAATGAGCAACGATCTAGGTTAGTAGGTTAGCCTAGTAAATATGCCCGGCCTATAGTACTAGTAACTGCCTTGTACTAGTAGACTGGACCTATATGTACCTTCTATCCATTGCCCGAATCTCGAGCCCGCCCTCCACGGACATCACAACTCCTATCTCGAACCGAGTCCTGTACCACGAGACTGATGTTGAACGTGGGTGCTGCTAGCCGGGTACTACCTTGCTTGCACTGGGCCCTGAAGAAGTTCGTATCGACCCTTTATCAAGCCAGTCCCTTGGCACCTCGGCTCAAGCCGGTAGATCCACAACCTAACCCACTTTACCGCGAGGCCTACTAATTCTTGGCAGCCCCCCCCCCCCCCTTTGCTAAAGTATCGACTCACTAGACCCCACTCCTTCCATATACAGTGGAGTCTCGATAATAGCATATGGTCGGGAACGGATTTTCGTGTGCCACTATCGGGGATATGCTTGTATCGAGAACAACTTTGCCCGTACCGACCCGTTTGGGATTGCCCAACTATATGCTACTATCGAGGATATGCTATTATCGAGGTTGCTACTATCGGGACTCCACTGTATGTCTGGTACATATATGGTTTACCTATATACCGAGTTTTAAGGCCCCTCGCTAGGTACATGTAGGTACATGTAGGTACATGTACCTACAATAGTTCATGTCGAAATTCTTGTATGAAGCTGCTACCCCCTGGACCCATGCGGGTGAATCATACCCTCTCACTCACAACCACCTTCCTTCAACTCAACCTCGCCGGGGAACATTGTCCACCACTCGGATTCCGAACCATCACCTTCCCTTCCTTTGGCAGATGATCACTTGCAATTGTTTTGCGCCTGAGACATTCGGCCCATGCAAGCCCCCCCCCCCCCCCCCAAATCCCCCCGCTCCGATTGCTGAAAATAGAGCACATTAGGAAGTTTGTGCTACCATCGAATTGGGTGCCAAGATATCTTCAGGTGTGGATTTGCACTTTTTATATGGTTGTATAGTTCTGGGTTCAAGGTTTTATTGAGCGGTAAGTTGACGTAAAAGGGGTATCGACAGTCTTTAGAGGTGATGCGGTAGTTTTTTTATGAAGTGGGCCTGATGTGGGTCTGTAATAAGTGGATATATTGTAGAGCGAGATCGACTGTAGTTGTACCAACACTAAGTTAGTTTTTTAGAATTATTTGAGCAGATTATAGCACCTATATCTCGTGACAATAGTAGTACCGCCCACCGATGATCCGGAAATATCAAAAAGATTGGTTACTTGATCCGATCAACTAACACCAACTCCAATATATTGGTGGAAATTATTAGATACTGAAACATATTTCTGCCGTCCGATGTTTAAGACTATTTCCATCTTCGGCTCCCAATAGGGGCTAGTGAGATCTTGTAGTGAGTAATCGTGGGATGTTTGGAGAAGCGTCCCCATTACAAGGCCCCGTCCGTCCGAGTAAACACTGAGGGATACTTCGTAGGGCATTTGGTTGCTGTGGCTCTAAAGCAAGCCACCCGAGGTCTATCCCAAGCGCATGATGCGATTATAGTTTATGTTGCCAGGCATCAGGGGTTGACTTGAGTCAGAGACATGTGCAAAAGATACCATGTCTCACTCAAGCTTAAGTTCTAAATTATAAACTTTATGCGACACTAAGGTATCCTAAATTGATGTCTTGGGTATATTTCTATCATCATATTGGAATTCAAAGAAAGTACCGCGTGGCGTTAAGCAGAATCCGTGTTAGCATGTATCGTGAAATGGGGAGATAAAAATCTATAAAATGCTTCTCTTCACGGCCCCAAGTCCAGCTAAGATCTCACATCTCCAAGATACTACACTGGCACCTTTGCCTCCAGAATTGCAAACATGCAGCTCACGATCAGTATCCTCTGTTTCTTTACTTTTCTTCTTCAGCTCACGTGCACGCTGGGCCAAGTAACTGCAGACCCGTACAACCCAAGTCCTTTTTCCGCTATCGGAGTGCTACAAGCGTAATTTATTCTCACAATTACCAACTAGTTAATCGAGTAGAAACTTACTTTGGTTCTTGGTGCTAGAGCAACTGTCGCCAATGTCTCTGACGTTCTCTCTGGCGGCACCCTCAGCGTCAATGGCATGAATATTATTATTCCTCGCAACCTCCTCGTGACTCTTCCCTCTATCACTGTCTCCTGGAGTGAACTCTTCACATCTGCTGGAGCCCTCAACTTCCCCCGCTTTGGCGTAACAGAATGGGAAGTCACAGTCAGTACCGCCGAATTCCATTTTCTCTCGTTGCTCAATACCTAACACTACAATAATAGGTCAGCGCCAACCGTAAAAATGGCGTTTATATTGCGGGCCTGGTTTACATCTCCCAGAA